GACATCGTTGAAGAAGTTTTTTATCCCGTCTTCATGCCTGGCGTCATGCAGCATGAGGAACCTCATTTGTATAGAGGGGGTTAAGGAAGCGTTTGTTAGAAAAATGGCTCTACAAGGCATTTTCTATAACAATAATCAGGCACAAGACATTTTATATTTTCCAGCAATGGCACTCTGAATGACGCTTGAAAAAAAAACAATACACAGTTTTACTGTACAATGTACATGAGTTACATTCCATTTTAAAAACCAATAGGAAAACATGAGCAATACTGTACTATATACAATAACTGTATACGTCTATAAATGGAAATTTCCATTGGTTTTTGGGCATCAATTATGCAATTTACATTGCAATTGTATTTAAGCTCACAAAGCTTCTGCAATTGTCATTATAATTGACCACGTGTGTGGTGTAACATATAGTAACATATATATTAAATGATTTTGTATTCATATATTCTGCATGCAATTGGTTTGTACAAACCCTGCATCCACTACAGGCGCTTCATGCACTACAATGACAAAGACATACGATTCTTGTATCAAATCAGCTGCTGCAATCGTGAACAATTCATCCAATCACGAGCAGGGGTGAGGGCAAAACCGTCACGTGACCAGGTTTTTTTTCCCTGAAAGGATATGGCTGGCAGTGACAAAGGCTGACACAAACCACTCGTTGAACTTGTCCACAATCTTGAGGTACATGTTGGTAGTCGTCCACATCTGCTCATCCACAAGGTCCAGGGCTGCATGTGCAATGAACTGGTTCAGATGTCGGTAATCCTCCTGCAAAATGGAACATTTTGAATTCCAATCACCACTGCCATTTTAATTGGTTGGTGTAAAAATGAACATCAGATTATTATCGATGCCAGTGGTGGGCCCATTGAATCAAAACGTTAAAGAAGTCAAGAAAGAGAGTAGTCTCAAGTGCATTTAAGCTTTTTATGTGTATTGTCAACACCTTGTTGTTTTAAAATATCTATTTTGGTCTGCAATGACAATCCTGGCCTCAAATACCCCTTTGTTCCGGAACCTCAAGATGAACTGCATGTATAAAAAATAAATGGTAGTAATTCAGAGATTTTAATAAATTCAACTTGTAACACGAACAGTAGAGCGTACAGGTGTTGCCATCACATCTACGCCTCTATATAAGGAACGAACTCCACAAATATGGCTGTTGCCTGATGAAGCTAGTTGTAATTACTGGCAAAACGTCGTACTCAGATTGCAAATATTGTGGATTGGCTCTCCAACACACCGGTGTGCTGTACTAGTGACGAAATGGCCACGTTCTGTTTACATGACAACCCTTACTTGTTGGCTGTGTCGGGTGGTGGCGGGTTTAACGACACATTTATATATTTATGCGATCTAACCCAAAAAGCCTGTATTATGGAACATGCACAGTATTTACTCACTCATGAAGACAACCGGCACCAAATTACTCCTGAAGATCTAAAGTCCTCCATATATGAAGGAGTTATTGGACAATTCATGAATGTTTACAGGTGGGAGGAATCCTGAGCACCCAGAGAAAGCTCACGCGTGTGTGAGTGCGGGGGCAACACATACAGATGGAACAGATGGAATACACAGGTGCTGTATCGCATTCTCTTGACAAGCCAGGGTGTTGTACCCATGGGGGTTTCATAACATTTGTGTGATATGCCAATGGTCGCCTCCACAGTGCCAGATTACAGGTGTGTCCTACCACCGCCAATATGCAGATATGATGTATAGTGTGCAGCGATTATACACAATGTAAATGCATAACCACCTTTGCTTCATTCTTGTTCTGAGGGCTGAACTCCATCTCAAAGACAGGGTTATCCTGGTGGCCCACAATCGCGAAATAGAAGTTCCCAGACATTGCGAATGAGCTGGATGCTGCTTAACAGAGGAGGGGTGGGGGGGGAAACCTCATGAGCATTTTAGCAAAGAAAACCAATTCACACATCATGTCCCACAAATTAGTTTTGAGAAGTAATGGCACTTACAAACTTGCTCAAACAGCTCTTCTTTGCTATATACATCTTAAATGGAATCGGAGAGCTATTAAAAACACTTAAACTGTAAACTTTTTCTCTCTCGAGTCTATGAAAATGTTAATACTGCGAATTTTATGGCAACAGCCTGACAGACTGGTCTCTGAAGACGTTCTAAAACAATAATATACTGACAGCACTTTCTGATGCGGCCTCTAGACAATAACAGACTGACAGACAAGTCTCTGATGGGTCTCCAGAGAATAACATACTGACAAGCCAGTCCCACATGGGGTCTCTACAACATAACAGACTGAAAGAAAGCTTTCTAAATGGGGTCTTTAGACAATAATCAGCAAACTGATCAGTCCCCGATGGGGTCTCTAGACAATAATAGAACAAGAGACCGGTCAGTGATAAGGCTTCTCGACAACAGACTGTTCACGGATGGGACCAATGGACAACATTTGACCGACAAGCCTTTCTCCGATGTTGTGTCCTCTCGACAATAAACCGACAGATTCGTCTCTGGGGACTTCGTGCAAGTGAGGTGGGGAAACTCTTTCTTTCCGACGACCAAAAAGGGCTTCCCAAATCCTTTGGCGGTCCCCACATGACCGCGCACCTCAGTAACTTGTTATTTACTGCAAGGGGGGGTCAGGGCTCTTGAAGTGACATAAGTGACTGCGCCCTAGATGTACCGTATCGCCATATCGACGTGCAACCCGCAGTGACCGGCTTTTGAAGGTAAAAGGGTATCGTGTGGTAAGGGCCCTTTGAAATTAAGCCATTGGCCCACACGGCCAAGACCGGGAGGGAGCCACCGAACAATAATACTGACACACAATGACCATTAAGACTACAAAGATCGGTCTCTCAACGATATCGATACATAGCAGGTGTCTCCGTACAACATTCTCGTGAATCAATCCACTCGCGGCCTCTAGCATTAACGTCAGCCACGGTCAATCTACCGCTGGATGATGGGCCTTCGCCAGCGACCCTGCCACGTAACAACCCAATCACAGGCGGCGACCAACGGCACCGTAACGTTACACAAACACTAAACTCACAAAACCAGTCACATGCTAGGAAGTGTTACATCAACGCGCACTCAAACATCAGCCAGTGGTCTATCAAGCTAAGTGTTCACACACACACATACGTATATATGTTGCCGATCACCACCCGGGAACGGTGACAGACGGAGCCTGCGGAGTATCCGGGCAAGGCGCGCCTCCCCCGGTAGGAAAACTAGGCGACACACGGGGTCCGATTGGGACCGCGGCTTCCTCTTCCTTCTCGTTACACGCCGCACGCACGCAGCAGCGGCAGCAGTGATCACATTAACGCGTTTAGCGAGCCGATATACTTACCAGGGGAGTCGGACACACAGAGGAGGAGGAGGGGGGAGGAGGGGATGACTTTGACGAGGTGGCGTGCGGCCCGAGGAAAACCGAGCCGGGTTGAAACGATTCGATTCTCGCGATTCTACGAATCAAGAATCACCAGGGCGAGGAATCGATTCCGCGTCTTATTAATCTGCACAAACAGCTGTGCGTTGTTCTCCCGCGCCTGGCGATGCCGAACGTCGCTCTATTTATATATTTGCCCTTTAAGTTAATTGCGATAAACAAAGTAGCGCACAATGTGCAACTTCGCACATTCTGGCCGCATCGGTAAAGCGTGACAGTGCAGTCTTCTCCCCATACGCTCCTTTAATAGGTGATCAATATATTTACTGTATTTAGCAGTCAATTTGGTGTCTTTAAGGACACATTAAGTTACTAAGCTTTGCTACAAAACGCATCACGCGTGCTCTAGGTGTCTCTGAGACGAATGTTTATGTTTTATAAGCCCTCCGTGAGCCGTGACCAATAGGAATCCTTGTACTTGGAATGAATTCGGCTTCTCGATAACCTTGCCAGAGCGAAGGGGAGGTTTTTTTTGTTTGTTAAATCTCCAGACGTAAAGTTATTTTATTTTTTTATAGATTTTATTCACATTGACGTACACGTTTAAATAAACGTGCACGTTTAGCGAACTCTTGTGCATGTAAGGAAACGAGAGACGTGTACGATATTTCCGCTGGAAATAATGAGCGCGACCAATTGCTGTCGCAGGCCGTCTCAATAAAATGTTATTCCTTCACACAAAGCTGTGCCAATTCACAATTAAGGTCTCATTTCACAAACGACGATACGTGTTTATTTGTTAGATTATATACACACACACACTCTACGTACGTTTCCACACGATTAAAGATACAAAACTCTTTATTAATAGAGGTTTTCCCTCCAGGTCTGACACCACCACCACGGCCGAGGTGCCCACCGGCTGTACTCAATCCGCGGGCGACGTTCGCACAATCTCCTCAACACAACAAATAAAACATAAAACAAATAAAACATAAAACACCGAATATTCGGCTCCATTTAACGCACGCAAGTTATAAAAGCCCGCGAGGGCATCGCTTTTGAGGGACCGCGAGCAACAGACGGACACGAGCCTCGTCATCTAAAAGTCGGATTCCGAGTCCAGAGGCCTCCTCCACACCCTCTTGGCAGCGTTGTTCGGGACAAGTTATCGCGATCGATAAATATTACAGCGATAAGTATCGTTTTGATTAATTTGTTGTGCAAGATATACACGCACGTGTGTGTGTGTAATGTGCGTCACGTTCATCATCCGCGAGTGTCGTGAGTTTCAATGAATGCACTCACAGACTCCTCTTGATCCTTCCCCCTTCACGACTTTGCATGTGCGGCCTTGCTTGGTCTTGGTCGTGGTCTTGGTGGGGTAGTCATTTGACCATACTTCACCACGCTGGTCCGTGCAGATCGTCGACGAACCGACGAGGCGCCTCTTTAACGTGACGAGGTTTCCCACGCCGGCGCTTCACCGATAAAGCAGCCGCCCCCCACCCCCCCTTTAAATAATTATCAATCCGGGAAACAAAATTATAATTTGATCATCTCCCAAAGATCACTCACGCGACACGTCAAGAACTCCAACCCCCAACCTCGGGCTCAAGCAAGCGACATGCTGCTGATGTGCGCCCTCAGACGCTCACGGGCAGCGTGTCCCTCCGCGCTCCTCGTGAAACACCAACACCGTGGCCACCCGCCAGACCACCACCACCACCTCGTCCTCCTCCACCTCGTCCGCGCCTCCTCGTCCACGTGCCGGCCTCCCCAGGGCGCCGCGAGTCGCCCCGCACCTCCGCCGCGTGGTCGCGGGGGGCCGTGGGCGAGGGCGTCGCCGGTCGCCCCGGGGTCCTGGAGGCGTCTCAGCGCGGCGTCGCTGGTGGCAGCGGCCCCAGAGTCCACGCGTCCTTACCTCCGTCTCATGCGGCTGGACAAGCCCATAGGTGCATTTGTGTTTTTAATGTATTTATTTATTTAAAGCTTTCGTTGCTGCAGGGATTCATATTGTTGGTTCTTTCGGTAAAGTCACGTAGAAGGGGCGGAGTGTGGGGGGGGGGGTGAAATAAATAAAACAATAAAATTATCACGACGTTTCGACTGCAACGCGAGCAATCATCATCAGGTGTGAAAACCACAGCAAGAACATTTGAAAAAAGTGGCGTGTTTTTTTTAACGTTAGCACCACGGAGAGCGATTTGTCAGTCATTCAGATGGACGAGTCCATCTATGTTCGGAAAAGAGGAGGGGGGAGACGGAAATAATGGATGCGGTCTGAAAGCCACCGTCAGCGTGAACAATCATCTTCTTTGGTTCCTTCGGTAAAGTCACGTAGAATGAGAATAAAATTATAATAAAATAAGACAATAAAATTCTCACGAACTGTCGGGACGACAGAGCTTCAATTGAAGCTCTGTCGTCCCGACAATTGTGTTCTTTTACCTGAAGAAGGCTATTTGTGTTGTGGCCGAAACGTCGTGAGAATTTAATGTCTTATTTTATTATTATTTTATTCTCATTCTACGTGACTTTACCGAAATAACCAAATGATATGAATCCTTGCAGTCACGAAAGCTTTAAATCGAAACGTGAACAATCAATTAAGACCCGAAGTGGTTTATCAAATCCTTCCAATGATTGCTAAGCCAGAATCCATCTTCTCGGTTGGAATTGTCTCTGTGTTTGTATATGTGAATAGCCTCATGAACGAATCTCTCATGGTAGCCAGATGGCTTGCAAATAACCTCTGTCTTGGAGAAGTCAATGTCATGTGAGCCTACTGAATTATAACAGTGATCTGCCACGGCTGAAGTTTCCATTGTTACATGTTACGTAATTTCGTTTATTGTAAAATTTCAATCACAGTTCCTACGATCACTGTTGTAACATTGCTTTCATAGCTTTATTTTGGTGATTTCGAAAACGTTTTGGTTTGGCCATGTTTGTTTGTTGTTGTACGGAGTTAGACTGATAACTTTAATCTGAATTGTCTTATGGTTGTTATTGTTTGACTTGCATCCCACTGGGATTTTTTTTGCACACATCGTTGATGTACGGTGCGTTTTCTGGAAGACTTTGCTATTTTTTCTGTTTGTGCATAGTCACTTTAAGATGTTTCTTGTTCATGTTTTTGTTGCGGTTGCACCCGATTCAAGAGCCGAATTGCTCACAGGGCTCTACCAAATAAATGTGACCTCGAAATTAGCGGTATAGAACATATCTCTTTTTAACAACAAACACCAACAACAAAACCCAATTATCCATCACAGGTTGTTTTTTTAAGCTTTCGTGACTGCAGGAATCCATACTCTGTGGTTCCTTCGGTAAAGTCACGTAGATATAAACAATAATATCTACGTGACTTTACCGAAAGAACCAGAGAGTATAGGGTTTTTTGTTTGTTGGGTTAGATCGGGTAAATATAAATGCGCCGTTAAACCCGCCACCACCCGACACAACCAACGGGCAAGGTTTGTCACGTAGACAGAACATGCCAATTCGTTACAACATTTACGATTTTAATCTCCAACACACCGGTGCCAACTAATAACTGACATGTTCAGTTTACGTGACAAACCTCACTAATTGGCTGTGTTGGGTGGTGGCGGGTTTCACGACACATTTATATTCACGAGATCTAACCCAAAAAACCTCTTATGGATAATGTTGGTCGCAAAAGCGTGCGTGTTAAAACCCAGTTACTGTGCAGTATTGCCATTTAATAATGTACTGTATTCCATTTTAGAGCTTGTAATTCACATGTTTAGTGGTCAACCATAATGTTAAAAAATGCAATTCGTCTATCATTTGAAAGTGTAAAGTGACTTAATATTTATACATGCACACGAACTTGGTCTGGCATCAGCATAACTTGTTAGAAGTGTACTGACACAACGTATTGCACAAACTATTAACCCTGCCCCTGGCCCTGCTTGGCTCCCCATTGTCGAAATTCAAATGGCTTGTGAGGCTAAAGTTTCACTGCTTGGGTCTGGTTCAACTCGGCAAGTGGCCAGTGGATAACCAACTCTAAGGGTCTCGTGCTGGATGTGCCAGTGTAAAAGTAGATATTTCATTGAAGGACTATTGTTTGTGTTATCTTGGTGTGGTCTGGGACTGTTTTGTTATAATTAACTAGTTATATTTAGTAACTTCCTTACCATTTCCTCTATTTTTCACTCCTATCGGGGTTCTTTTTATGTATTGTTTACTGTTGTAACTTGCTGACCTGCCCATACCAGACATGTACGAAAAACAGAGCTTCATAGCAAGGTGCTAACATTTTGCTTTCCAAGGCACCTGGCTGCTCTACCTGCCGTGCACGTGGAGCATCGCGTTGGCGAGTGTTCCAGGCTGCCTGCCCGACCTCGAAATGCTCGCACTGTTTGGCCTGGGCGCGGTGTTTATGCGTGGCGCCGGATGCACTATCAACGACATGTGGGACCGCGATTTCGACCGAAAGGTGAGCTACATCTCGATTGCTGGCTTTCACTTTCTTTATTATTGTTCAGCATCGTCAACAGCCATTATCTCCCAACTGCTGGATGAAGGTTTTTTCCAAGCCATTCCCGTTTCTCTTAGGCAAAGAATAATCGTAAGAATTGCACTGCAGAGTAAACATTTGCAAGTTTACGAGCGAATAATTCTGCACTACAACGTTCATAAGCCCTATTTGTGAGTGTGGAGCACTTGGACATCGGTCTCATATTCATCTGGAGATCATTCATTCAACAACTCGCTCTGCGCAGGTGGCTCGTACGGCCACGCGTCCCATCGCCTCTGGGGAGGTGAGCCGCTTCGGAGCCCTGGTGGTGCTGGGAGCGCAGCTCAGTCTCAGCCTGGGCATCCTCCTCTGCCTCAACAACTACAGGTCGGGTCCATGGCTCCAGGGCCTCGATCGTTGATGACAAAATAAATGCTGCACCACCATTCCTCCTCCTGCCTACAAAATAGCGATGTTGTTGGTTTTGGAGCTTTGGGCCTACGCTCAGCAACCATGGTAAAGGATAACCTGCAAGTGATGTGTATAAAGCTACATTGGGGGACCTTTCCTTTTCTGAGGGCCAAAAAGGAATTTCAAATAGCTTTGGCAGACCACACGTTAAAACACACACCACAGTCACTTCTATCACTGCGATGTACCTATGCAGTGAGAGTAGTGACTGATGCAATTTTAAACAGAGTTCACACGTGGAATATATTCCCTCCTAGTAGCTAATTAGTGGAGATAAAATGCTTGCAATGTACGATTTTTTAAACGTTTTTTGTATGAAATTAAGTTGCGGATCAGATATGGCCCACCCCTTGTGTAAAAGTATTACTCCAGCTGTCATCTGGCGAGAGATTTGCAATGAACCTCAGTGGCTTTGCACAACGTTGATTTCCGTTTTCAGGTGTCATTTTCTGCAATGCAATTAGGATCACAGACGTATAAATGGCTCGTTGAGAAATCTTGCTGTGCCTGTCATTCATGCAGCATAGTGCTGGGTGCGTCTTCTCTACTTGTGGTTGTCAGCTACCCCCTGATGAAGCGAATAACCTACTGGCCACAATTCGTTCTAGGTAATGTATGTCTTTTGTATGAAAAATAATATCGCCTTGACTTAACCCCCACTGTGCGATTTCCCTGACTTTTGTAAGCAACAATGTAAGTGAGATTATTGTTTAAATGTGCAGTGATAACACTTTTACGATGATCAAACCTGCCATAATGTGCCCGGCCTTATTAAATCTCAGAAGCAAGGTAGGGTTGAGCCTGGATTTTGTTGGGATGTGGGACTGCCATGCAAAAACCAACCTGTTATGTAGGCTGGGGATACCTTATCAGCAGGGGGCAGTGCAGCAAAGTGTATGTGGTTAAGCATGGTCACAATAATCCATGCAATTTGCAGTGTGTTGAAGCCATGTCCCACCAGTGCATTGACAAAAGGGTTGTACATACACATAATACTTGACTTTATTGACCATGCTCGTTTACTTTGTGAAAGAGAATTGATTCAAGAGGGTAGTGAAATCACACGGTATCAAGAACATTAACGATGGCTTAAAACTACAGTTTTAATTGACTTTATGAATCATGATGCAGTATGTACCAGATTAAATATTGCGCATGTCTGACAGTGCCTTTGCTTCTTTATTAAAACAAATCCATTGACTGAACATCGCGTAACGTGCAGCGAAAGCAAAAATGTCACCTATATGTAACGCATGTGTGATTTTTTCCGACATTTCCATTCCCTCCACTGTAGGGTTGGCATTTAACTGGGGTGCTCTGCTGGGCTGGGCAGCAGTGCGTGGCGCTTGCGACTGGAGCGTTTGCCTTCCACTCTATTTCTCCGGAATCATGTGGACGCTGATCTACGATACAATATACGCTCACCAGGTGTGCATGGTGGTCACTAGCCATGATAACTTCTCAAACTCCAGTCATCTGACACCGTCTCTTCTCTGTGAAATGAGTAAAATAATATCTACAATAGTAGGCTCTATAAATCCAGCTGCTCCCCAAACCAATTCCCTTGGAAGCAGAAATTCCAAATGTGATCGTATTACTATCATTGATGTACCCAGATTAGCACAGTTGGCTACGTGCTGTCCGAAAGACGTTCAACATACATATATAGCATGGCTTCCCATAGTATATAGCATAGACGCAGTGATTCTTTTTACACACATTAACGTGCCCCTTAATGTTATCCAATAATATTGCAGAACAAATTATTAGGGCTCATAATTATTTGTGCTAAACTTAAAAAAACACTTTGCCAGGTGTAGTGATGGATAAATATCATCTGTAGGCCGTTCAAAAGTGCTAGGCCTCATGTGGCCACGGGCCATATTAAATGAAGTCACATGCTTTATTCGGCCTTTTGGTTTATAGATTCCCCAACCTTGATTTATGAACGACTGCCTAAAATTATTACGTTTGCAACTAGTACCCTTTTCCACTGGCACATCTAAGCTGTGTCATTGTGGGACCCTCATGCTACGGGTGCTTTGTCACTCGCTTTTCGGAACCAAATCGTGAAATGCTGGCCTCACAAAACATTTGAATCTGGCTCAGGGCCAAATAGGGCCAGTCCAAATTATGCATTAATTGCTTGTAACTTCAGTCAGTACACTGTGGAGATAATAATAATTTAATTCATATAGCGCTTTTCATCAAGGATCTCAAAGCACTGTACAGAACGCAACAGCAGCAGACATTCAGCGTAAAAATTATAAAATCATTTACCAAATGAACAAAACATTTAATACGCGGAAACGTATAAATAGGTTTTAAGGCGGATTTTAAAAATATCAACAAACTCAGAGATCCTGATATCTTGTGGAAGAGCGTTCCGTAGCCTGGGGACTACACGGGAAAAATCTCGGTCACCCATAGACCGAAACCTCGACCTGGGAGTAGAGAGAAGATCTGCATCCCCGGATCGTAGGGACCTTGAGGGGCATATGGATGAACCATGTCAATGATGTAGGCTGGGGCGAGATGATTCACTGCTTTGTAAGTTAACAATAGGATTTTAAACTGTTTTCCCATGTGAAACTGTAAACCAGTGTAGCAAGGACAAAACAGGTGTAATATGATGTGAAATAGGTGTTCTGGTTAACACCCTAGATACAGTGCCCCTCCATCGTCCACATGCGTCTTTGACTTGGACGTTGCATGTGGAGTCTTAACAGTAAGGTTCTGCAGCAGTTTGGCGTGGCTGGGTTGTGTACGGTGCAAAAAGAGATACAGCAGATGAGAATTCGTGGAACAAAGTCAAAATGAGACACGTGGCCCTGAGTGTTTTCCGATGCCCCCATTCCCCCCTCCCCACTGTCATAGGACAAGGTGGACGATGCGGTGGTGGGCATCAAATCCACTGCCCTCCTCTTTGGCGAGAGCACCAAGTCTTGGCTGGCAGGGTTTGCTGTGGCCATGACGAGTGGGTTGGTGGCAGCTGGGGTCGCCAGTGAGCAGACCTTGCCTTACTATGCCTCCGTAGCACTCGTGTGCCTCCACGTGTCTAATCAGGTACACACACCCTTACACGTCAAGGCTCTGTATGTTAAACTGTGTGCTGTTTTTACCACTACAAATATACGAATGCACTATCATACTGATTTTCATCCCACGGTTGATCGAGTGCACAGGGCCGGGTTAGATACCACATGCCACTGATGTTAACCGTTAGTTGGGATCTGACTCAGGTTGCGCAGTGGTTAGCATATTGATACTGTAGGTAAACTTAAAATGCTTATACTTGCCAGTTTTAAATACATGTTGTATACATTTTTGCGACTGCATATTTTACATTTCTTAACCGTTCTCAACTAGTTTTTTTTTTGTTTACGAATATTTGTACATGTGGACTGTGCGTGCCCATGCATACCTTGTGTTTATGTATATATATAGGAATGCAGCTATCTATGAGTCAATCTTCGTGTGGTATTTTAGTTGTTAGATAAAGCCCGTTGGGTTCATCTCAATGAATGATCTTCTACAATTACAAAATGAGCTTATGTTTGCAAGCACATCATTGTCGACTTTAAGTAGCATCGATTTGTCTTTGCATTTGCAATGCATGATAATTTTCCGCTCGACCAGTTTGTTAGGAATGGCACGTGTCAAGAATCCAAAGGTAGCACTTGGCCACAATTCCACGAGAGCGCGCTGTCCACGCGGCCGTGCTGCCGAAGCTGCTCATCCCACAGTGCACAAGCGTCCATTCATATCAAACATAGTAACATGATTGTTCGTTTTAAGGCACTTAAATTAAAAACACGTGTTACTTTATTGAGCTAAAGAGTCGTAACAGAATAAACGACAGCAAGTAAAAAAAAAGGGCATCTGTGCGAGCCTAACAAGGCATAATGTTAGCCTTAATCAACCCGGGTTACATTTGCTCGCATAAGCTGAAACAGAGCATTTCCTGAACATGTATCTGAATTTGGATAATGCAGGCAAATACAGACAATGGCGGAGCCAGGATTTTCAGGTTGGGGGGGCAACCCCTCCAGCAATGAAAAATGATAGAGGAGTTATTAGTAAGGACTTGTCCCTTGCTTTGTATTCGACGCGTGTGAGTGGCGATGGCTCAGCCATCGATCGAGGGTCGAATTCGAACCGCGTTGTGTGATCGGCATCGCGCTCGCTGAAGGCGAATGCCTTCAGGGAAGTCGTGGACTGTATACGCAACTCCGCACAATTCTGTGAGTCACTTATAACTGCTTTGACGTTACTTATTGCCAATTATGGAGTCAGACTATTGTCCTATCATCTCGTAGAGTCCCTGGCACGTAATAATATGCTATACAGTGGCAGCGGGGGTCGCAAAATGCCAATTTATTACTAATAAACCCCAATGATCCAATCTAAATTAGGGCTTTCGATCGGATCATTGGGCGGGCGCGTGCCACCCCACCCCCCTACTGGCTCCGCCAGTGAATACAGAATATGTTGATTGTCAGTCTTAAAATATAAAATAATCTATACCATAAAATAGACCTCAGGTTTTAAAAATGTTATGCTTTTGTTTATTATGAACATGACGGCCAACTTGTACGCTTAACATATCGAGGACTCAACCTCCATTAATAATAGTCCATGATGTTGATGATTACATTGCAAGACTGTGGGAGATGGTGGCGGGTTGGGGGGGGTACTTCATAGGTTGAGCGTGGCTTCTCTTGGTGATGTGTAAATATATTCAATTATGTGCAAATGTACACGATGATGTTGCTTTCAGAGGTTCAAGGCAACCCCCAGACGTCCATCGTAATATTTTATACGTCTCGTTTGTAAAACTGCCCCCCCCCCCCAAGCAGCTTACATCAAGTCATTTTAGCAACCTCAATGATCAGTCCTGAGCCTTTTTCACCACCCCCATTTCCATGGCTCACAACTTTAAATCGTCGCAGCTGCCGGCCGGCGATGTTGATCGCTCGCCTTGAGTGCAGCCCCTTTAACTCGAGCCTTGCACTGCAGATCCGCACACTGGACGTGGACAACAGCGATGACTGCTGGAAGAAATTCTGCTCTAACCGCACTCTCGGCCTTCTTCTCTTCGCTGGGATTGTGGCCGGCACCCTGGCTAAGGGGAAGCAAGGGCCTGAAGATGGACGAGGACATGAAGGCGCCGTGTCGGCTGAAACCCACAATCAAGCTGAATAAACAAAAGCACTGGGCTTAAGAGTGCACGGCAATTGTTTGCATGTGTGTACGTTGAACTTCTTTTTGCACCATATGTAGCCAACCGTGCTAATCAGAGGTGCGGGGTAAGGACAACACACTGAACTCAACATTTTTTTTTCACATGTATTTTTGTACAGCATTGCCAAGTGAGTGCTCGGAGAACTGATCGCCTGTCTGCAGCACGGAATCACTGGTGTAAATAACACATTTCTACAGTGATGTTGAATCGAGACAATCCGAAGGACAACCACTGTTGACTTTCCACAAAGTGGTGCCTATTTTATCGACCCTAGTCAGCATGTAAACTTTGATATCAAATATGAAAGTCATGCCATGAAGAGAAATAACATCCAGAACACAGAAGAACACGTGTTGAACGTGTCACGACATGTCACGGATCAGTGTTGATCCTCTTTATGTCTAGGAATGGCACTGGAAGATGCCACAACAGTAATTTTAAATTAACTTAATGTGTCTCTTACCCAACACTAGACGGCGTTTAATCATGCTGTATGAATATCTGTTCATTAAACATCAGTGTATGTATTAACGCTAGCTCTCAGCTAGGCTGAGCTAATTTCAGTAAAAAAACGGATTTGTGTGCGTGTGTGTTGTCATTGGTCATTAGATTGAGACCAAAATGTCTGCTCGTTGAGAAGTTGCGATCAATCCAGGGTGCTTTCTACATCTTAACGTTTCTGCAGTGCAACCTCAGTGTTCTGACACCAACATCAATCCCTGATCCACTCGACCCAATCCTCAATGCCGTTATGTGTACCTAGCCAACCGTGCTAATCGGAAGGTGCAGGGGAAAGCTTCATCCTGGTTGTCCCTACGATCAGTGTTGATTCCCAAGCGGTGTACCATACAGACTCTGAAATTACCGTAGCCCTCACACCTTGATACAGTCCTCGACATACACCATGAAACATCGCACTGCAAAGATTATAGCAAGGAAAGCGATTTAAATCGGTGGGGGGGGGGGGGGGCTATTGTACACGTTCACCGTGCCGTGATCTTTTGATTCTCGTCAATAATTGGCAAAAAGCGACGGACATAAAGTGATTGGACGCTATACCCGTCGAAGAGCCGTCTCTGGTGCTCAGACGTGCACATAATGCCTCGTCGTCGTGCGTGAGAATTGTCCTTAGGCCTTTGTGTTCATTTACGGAGTCAACTCCAAAGGCTGCCCTTCACGTGAGTGTGTACTCTTTAACAAGTCCAAATGTTCTTTCACTGACGTATTTATACAGTTTGTTTAAAATAGCTTTCAACAATTTATAAACCGTGCCTGTTAACGGTGGGCCCAGACGCAGTGCTTACAATCGTTTACTTGGAAAATAAAACATTTTCATTACCTCTTCGTTTTTAAAAGTGCGATCATTGTCGCACAACCCATCAATGGGATTCCGAGTCCTCAAACCTACGGTCGACCGCAGTGAGTTAATACACACGGGGTTACTTTAAATGCAATGGTTGGTTTGGTGAGCCAATTCTGCAGCAGCACAGAGGGTGATAAAGTCGTTCCATCTCGCGTAAAAACAATCGCTCATCGGGTTATCGCCTGCTTCTAAATAAAGCAGTCGATTCATTAATTGTTGATCACACGGACGAACGTGCTCAAATTACAAATGCTGTTTATAATCAAAGGTTTTTAGGTTAGATCGCGTTATTTAGAAATGTGTCGCAACCCTCCACCACCCGACACGGCCAATCAGTAAAAAATGTGTCACGTTGACAAAGGATAAATAGTTGACTGCTTTAGCCCACTACTTTAGCCCACCGGTGTGTTGGAGACTAAGATTGAATGGCTACAATAATGCTCAAATTAACAGAGCATTGAATGCCAAATCAAGATCGAACAACAGCACTACTGAAAGTGATCAGATCAAAACAATTAAAATACCATATATCTCGGGAGTTAGTGACAAATTAGCCCGTGTTTTGCAAAAGCAAAACATTAAAGTGAGCTTTGGTACGGTACACAAAATTCAAAAACTAGTTTCTAGTACCAAAGATGAATTACCGAAGTTATCAACAGGTGTATATCGGATTAACTGCTTATGCGGTGTTATATTGGATAGACGGGACGTAACATTAGCGTAAGACTAAAAGAACACCAAAGGAACATTACATTATCCCAAACACATCTGTCAACAGTGGCAGAGCATGCTTGCCAACAAGGACATTCAATTGATTTTAATCACGCTGAAGTGTTATGCAGAACTAATTATTACTGGCCAAGATTAGTTAGAGAATCAATTGAAATTGAGAAGAATTCAAATAATTTTAATCGCTGTGCCAGCTATAGACTCAGCGTAGCCGTATTATTAAGTAATACACAACACATTGCAATTCCTTACAGGTGGCTGATTACTGATGTATTACATAATTGCATACACCCCCACCTCTTATCTCGAATCCTGATGGGGTTCAACAACGATGACGTCTTCCTGCACTATTTAAGACCGGAAGCAGGTGAATGGCTTCACCAGTCTGGCAAATCGCCCGAAGATGCTGGATGTAATTACCAGCGAAACGTACTACTCAAATTATAAATGTGGATCCACTCTTCAACACACCGGTGGGCTAAAGTAGTGAACTATTTTGTCTTTTGTCAACGTAACACATTTTTTTACTGATTGGCCGTGTCGGGTGGCGGAGGGTTGCGACACATTTATAAATAACGCGATCTAACCCAAAAACCTTTATTATGAATAATACTGGTCGCGAAAGCCTACGTGTTAAACTACAAATGCTGTCCCAAACGATAATCAGGTGCGATTGCGAGCTGCCCACCCATTTCTAACAATTCACATTTGTAACAATCATACCCACCGTATGTCCCAATGCGCCTGCTATATAATGCATAGAATCACGCATGCATATGTTACAAACGTTATTTGCACATCTGAATATAATAATGTTACATTTGTCATTTACAGTAATGTGTAAATTATCTGCTGGACGAAGGCCTTCCCCACACCATGTCGACGGTTATGGGGGTTTGACCATACTTCACCACGTGGGTCAGGTTGCTTAAGAAGGTGGGCAGGACATGTTTAGATATCGTTTATATTTTACACACACACAGATAATGTTGATTACACCAGGATATAGTTTGACTGTGGTGGCGCGTCATGCCTAATCCAGCATTTTGGAGGTGGGGTTGTGGATCGTGTGAAGCAGTGGTTCTTCACCTGGGGTGCATGCACTCTCTGGGGTTGTGAGATGTGCCATATTTGTTTAGAAGGTAAATCATCGGAAACACGTTAAGCACGGGCACGTAAGTACAACTACTTTGTTTAATCGAACCCATGTATTTAAACTCGTATGCATTTGTGTTCACGATTGAGAAGCAAAGAGGTGCAAGGCTGCAGTCAAGGTTAAGAACCACTTGCTGCAAAGGTGGACCTCGTGTGCGAGACATCTACCAGAAGGGCAATGAGGTACTGAAAGACGGCAACAGAACAATTAGGCGTCTCACCGGTAAGGTTTATTATGCCATGCTTAGGATTCCTCTTGGCACTCCAATTTATCTTTGAATTCAACTCTTGGACAAAACATAGTCTTGCAAGACTGAATCATCCCTTGATAATGAATTAGTCTTACCGAAATTAACTATTTCAGTTATTCCACTTGTATTTTGTAAAACTTGTGTGATTATCACGGTATTTAGATGCTATATTAAGCCATGTAAAACTGACTTGCAGCCTAATTAAGTATGTAGATGTGAGGTTGGGCAGATGTCAGAGCAATGACTTTGCACCACAGATGTGTCTCGTTCAAATCCAAGGAGCCTGCTTCTTATTAATCCAAGTTGTCAAGTGTCGTGTGAACGGATAGTCTCAGCTCGGTCACCAATAGCTTGCTGTACGGTAAACCCCCCCGTAACAATGCATTTATTCCTGCACTTATTTTAGACACGTTCCAGCTCTTAACAAATGGAAACGATCGGTTTTACTATTGACGACGAAAAACAATAGTGGCGGGGCGTATTGGAGAGTGATTCCCCCCTGCCGTGTGGGCCAGTGGTCACCTCAGTGGATTTTGGATGTAGCTCTGTAATGTCTGCTTCTATCGAGAATTTGTATAAACGGGATTTAAAAAAAAGAAAACTAGAATGGGAGGGGTACCTCCTTTATTTCTGACAAACGTTTGCTTTTTTTTCCCCCACACCAAGGCAAGCAAACCAACACAACATCTAACCAATAGTCACAGAGCCCCTAACATTGTAAAGTGTATATTCTTAGCTCTTTCGGTAAAGTCACGTTGAAGGGAAACAATAAAATAATAAAATATATATAAAACAATAAAAAATTCTTACGACGTTTCGACCATAACACAAACGGTCGTCATCATTGTAAAGTGTACCCACACGAACAGGGGCCTCGAGCGAGGACTGCCTCGACCTAATCACACAACACGTGGGGCCACCGACCCCACACCATCGCTTCTGTTTCCCGACAGAAGCGAGGCCCCACGACCTATATTTAGCCGTCACGCCGCCGTTGCAACTCTTGGCATTGAATGATCGCGTACAGGGAGCGATCTATTTATAGACGGACAAGCCGAGTGCTTCGCGTTCGGCGGGACAGCAACAGTCCCGCCGAACGCCGTGCCGAGAGTGATTTTGGCACGCCAAGTCCTCCACGGCGTCTCCGTTGTCAATGAACCTGTTCTTAGGCTTATAGGAACATAGGGTACAATGATATAATGGAATAATTATGGATAGGCGTTACCTTACAACACTAGTGGTAGCCCCTCGTGGCCCATAAGCCATACATACACCCTTGCCGGATTAGAAATATCGAGTAAGAAATTAATCCCTGGATACTGCATTCAAATAATAGGAATTAGCGCGCTATTTAACATTAGTATGTATAGAGGCTATAAAACAAACTTTTTTTAAAATTAAATTTTACGAGGTAAGGCCCACTGAGCTACATAGCTCTCTTTGATGCGACCCGGGCATAAATTATAGTTCAATGAAGTGGCTTATCACGTGGAAATATACAGCAGCCAAATACTCTAAACACACGATTCTCAATGTCTAGGGGAAATCTGGAGGATCCAGAGAAAGATCCACGCGACCACGGTGAGAGAGACACGCAAACTCCAAATCTACAGCAGCAGGCGTCAGGGTCGGGATCGAACCCACGACCTCCTGCATACCAGGCGAGGTAGTTAACATCTCCTAGCCACCGCGGTGCCCACCTCTCACCAACCCATAACAGCTCACCTCTGTAGGGAATGGCTCCTTGCTAACAAACAAAAAACGGGAGCCATCGCTCTCGCACGCTTCAAGCAGCTGCTGTTGAGGCGAAAGGAAAAAAAATAGGTTCGTTAAGAGAGACGTGGCGTAATGAATTCGCAGCCACCGAGTTGAAACACAAATCATCTCTGTCATCGTTGACACGCTGGTGCGGCACGAACTCGTTCTCGAGTACCCAACCCACCCTAACCCCTCCATCCGACTGCCAATTGGCGATGTTGCTGTCGTGCGAACAGAACGTGCCAATTTAGTGCCGCTTCAGCACCACCGCTGTGTTTAGACGGCAATCCGTAAACACATTTACACGATCTAACCCAATAACAACTTGGTCGTGAAGTGCAGAAATTCACTCTGCCGTCTCCCGAGATTCAAAACTTAACGCGATCCGAGGAAGTCACTGGGACATTTGGAGTTCACACCGATCATACAGCACAAAGGCTTGTCATTAGGGCCGCTATGTGTCAAAGACGAGTTTTTTTGTGTGCCAGTAGGCGAGGATGTGGCTGTGTTGCGCTTACTCAATTAAGAATTCGTGATTTATCAAATGTTGGTACATGAGGAACCATGACGGTTTTAACACGACCAATATCCATAATACAGGTGTTTATTGGGGGGGGGGTTGGATCTCGTAAATATAAATGCGTCCTTAAAGCCGCCGCCAGCACCCGACACAGCCAATGAGTAAGGTTTGTCACGTAAACAGAGCATGCCAATTCGTTACTAGTACAGCAGACCGGTGTGTTGGAGAGCAAATCGTGGAAATCGTGGATTTGCTCTCCATACTTTGCCCCACACATTTATATTTACGCCAATCTAACCCCCCAAACCCCCTCTTCGCCCCCCCCCCTCCCGTGTATTATGGTTGTACCATGACGTGGGCACACACGGCCTACTCGTTAGCCAATCAGACAGCGGCAACGTGTTCAGGTTTAATCCACCCGCACCATTAACCAGGGTTGCCGGTAGGCTCGAACCGCACGGACCTCTGCAAAAAGCGGCAAACGATGTCCTCCACAGGTGCTTATTCCTCACGAGGGCATCATCATAATCGCTCGCAAGGCCGTAGCCATGGAGTCAACATTAGGGGGGGGGGACCAAATCTTCCAGGGTGTCTGGGGGTCCTAACCCAGAAAAATATCTAAATTTAAAAACGAATTTCCTGCCTAAAATATTAAAAAAAAATCACTAACACATGGGATGGACTTTTTATTTATTTTTTACAATAATGTCTAATAGTGTATATTGTGTTACATTTGTCTGTTTTTACTTGTTTTTACCATTTCTTGTTTCATTGTATGTAATGGCAAAGATTAGGGATTAATAAAGTAAAACCATAACCACAATCATATAAACAGAAATCTATGCGTTGATTTATATGAAGACAAGTTCAGATATTGTGGTCAAGGGTTAGCAAATTGTTGTTTTTAATTTACATAGCATAGCAATTATTTTTTATAGCAATATATTGGGGGGGACATTTTGAGCATATTTGAATGTGTCCCCCCCAATATATAATTACGCCTTGATCGCTAGAAATCAGTGAGGTAAAAAATAGATCACCCGATAGATGGTAAATCATCGATCATCGGGCGGCATCGAGGGGGGGGGAAGTCGGATTTTGAAAAACGCCGTAGAATCACTAAATCATGATTTAAAATCTCTTATTTTTGCACATTCTTGTTTGACAGTTTTTAAGTGTTGATTTTTGTTTTAAATTTGTTTACTGAGTTTGGCATAAATATACAAAAATAAATATCCTCTCGGCGTTTTAAAGGTTTACAATCTGAGATTGGCATAAATAAACATACAAATAGACAAAAATAAATATCCTACTTTAAAAAGGGTCTATTTACCGTACTTACCACTCCAAGCTCGAAGACTCTGCATGGGGTGATGCATATACGTGCAGTATTTTCATTAAGTTGAATGTAGTGTATAATGTAGTGTATAATGTAGTGTATATAGCATTTAACACGGAAATCAAGCGTAGCCACTCTTGATTCGTCACGCACGTGGTGCCGATTAGCCGGACTGATGAAACAGCCTTTGGAGCGGTTTCGCCGGATCGGTGCAGGACCACAACCGGATGGTAATTATCGATGGCCGACTTTATTATATACACACAGCACACAGGGGTGGCAAGAGATCCCCTGTTGAAGCAAATTGTGTGTATTTCGAAAACCTGGAGCTGTGTTGTTCTTTCTTCGACCCCCCCCAGCCCCCCACGATAGAGTTATTCACCTGCACACGCACACACACGGGGTGGGGGGCTGATGAATTGCTGTTTTCTGACGGGGGGTGGGGTTCCTCACACATCGACGGTGGGCGCCAGAAATGATCGGTGGGGGGGGGGGGCGGATGAAAATGCTTCAATCCATTATTTACGTTTGTTTAAAAAAATCGAGAGACCCCGGGTCAGCTGTGTAAACTGCAAACAGCTGCAGTTGGTTTCGCTGTGCTTTGTACTCACAAAGTGCAAGCGTATGGCCGAGACATTCTCTGTCCGCTGCTGCTGCTGCTGCATACACATCCATGCGCGAAGGGCAAACATGAGATATTGGCCGCTCGTTCATAATTCCATCCACTGATCTTCTTGCACAAACACGGCATAGGCACACACCCATGTCGTCAACTCACTGCTGGATGAGAGTCTCCCCCTGTGCCCGCGTGGATTGTGGTAGCAGAGCTGTCAACCCCTTATCAGTGCCCTACTACTTTATTACATACCTTATTGGTCACCCCGTGCCCCTTATCAATCTCAACGTCCATCCCACAAAGTCCCATCACAGGGGAGAAACACAAATAGACAAACACACGTTTGTTTGTTGCCCGTGTTGAAGCGGCTGTACGCCGCATGGACCCAAAAACTTAATTTCCCAGTGCAAGTATAAAAAGTAAACCGTGATGGGTTGACGGCTATGTGCAGTGCGGGTTGCCGAATCCGGGTTGTACCGTAAACACGCGGGAGCATAGAAGTACAGAACAATGATGTCGAGTATTTTGCTGCTCAGCTCTCTGCTGGCCATCAGCAAAGCCTGAATAAGTACAATACTCATGCGAGCAGTTATCCAGGCTGGTTGGTTTTTTTTTCACCCTGCTTAGCTTCCGCGCTACCTTTATGAAAGCGCCGTTCATCCCCGGGGCGATCTGGTGGCGCGCACACACACACACACAGGAGCAGACGTCTCGAATAAAACGCCACATTTTGCTTTGTTTTTATTAAGATGCAAACGTACATTTGTATACAGACACTTGAGCTACGGTACAACCAAAAAGAAACTGGTATTCAAATGACCGATCATCAAGCATCGTGAAATCCGCGGTTTCCCATGCGACCACATGAGCAGGGGTGCAGATGCAGAAGCATCCCCCATTAACGGGGTGGTGGGGGGGGGGTTATAGAGGGTGTAGGAACGGTTCGATTAGAAAAGAAAGCGATACATTACTATATATATTTTTGCTTTATTTTTCATTTCCTTCACCAAAATTACAATTGATATTGAAATAATATTCCAACTGAACGGGGCTCATTTACCTGAAGTCGTTTTCTCGGCAAAAGGCTGAGTTTTGGTAAGTTTGGTAGGTCACCGAGATCTCAAAACAACGAGCAGCACATTGAATACAAAATAAGAATAATACGTGTGAGTAAGATTAGTGTGCAAAACGATCAGTGAGCTGTTCAGAAATGCGTATGAGCAGAAGTCGCGTGTGGACCCGCTAAGCGAACTTCTAACGGGTACATTGGTTTTTTTTCCCTCTCTAAAAGTTTCCTTTAATTCTAAGGTGGCGTTGCTTTTGCCAGCTAACAACAGCCGAAAAAGATGACGAGCGTGAGGAACATTGAACTAGCAGCCAAATAAATACATAATCGTACAGCAATGCGGTAAAAGTAACATCGTACAATATGACAGCGCCCTTTCATCGAGTCTACTTTCCGTCGACAAAAAAAATGAATAGGTATACACACACAAAAAAAAGGTCTTTGGAAAGGCACCTTTGTAAACAATATATACAGACACTTCGTTTGCCAAACATAACATAGTGTAATCTATAGTAAATAATATTGTACTTATATTACTGTGTTTAATATCAATACTTCAAGTTTTTTTTAATGTATGTTGAGTTGTTTTCGCCCAGAAGTCAACACTGACCCTGATGTTCACCTAAACTGGCATTACCTCTACCCCCCGTAGCCTCCCGTTACCGTTCTCTTGACAAAGACGCGGCTGTAACTGTTTGCAGGTTCACCACAATGTCAAGGGTTTCTTCAATGTTTAGATCTGGGAAAGTGGCATCTATATATATGCCTCTCATGCATCATCATGTCCACTGTGGGGACCGCCATGACATGTACAGATCTATAACTACTATGAAATGATATATATAAAAACCGTCAACACATTTGGGGATGTTATGGACTTTTAAATCACAATAAACCAAAAATAAAATGTTTCAGCTCTGCTCTTGATAATTCACGCATGAGAGGGATATAGGTATTTCCATTACGAGATCTTTACTTGTTTCAGGTATAGGAACCATTTACAAGGCTTTCCTGTAGCACAAGTATCATGAGGGTAGAATGAGGTTAATAACACATTTGTTCATTTAAAATAGTTTAATCTGACACCCAAGGTTTATTGCAATATTGGCTAAGGATACGTACTGAAAAGTGATGGCTGTTACTCACATTTGGACCATGCTTCTGAAAGCCAATGCAAATGTAATGTAACATTTAATAATAACAAAAAAATGCAAAAAAAGGATAGCTTTTCCAGGAATCAAAAATAAGCACAACTTAACAGTTTTCAATTCACAGAACCCATAAGTAAAAAATGTGACCTGTGCAAATTACGCAGAGACCAATGGCGTATGGAGATCGGCATGACCAATTTCCATAGCTGCGACAAATAGCTGGACACAAAGACCACCCTTAACTTCAGTGCCACCTGCAAACAGTTAACTCTGGACACAGGAGCTTAGTTCCACACCCCGCCCCCCCCCCCCCCCCCCCCCCCCCGTTTAACCACTCCCTTTTGTAATGTTATTTTTTCTAAGCTGGCTATATCATGTACAAAATACTGTTTGTCATATTAGTAAGTGTATAACCGTTGTCAACAAGCACCTCGGCGCACCTAGGCAGACCTGGGCACACCTGCGTTGTTTCATTTATTTTATTTTCTGAGAACGTTACAAGAATTAAAAAAAGACCATTAAAAGAAACAATATTTACTTTCACATCTTGATCGCATCTTGACGCATGTTACACATTTTCTTTGCATGCGATGATGTGTCTCTAATTTGTTTTTTTTAGAATAAAAACCGTCTCAGCATATGTTGCTTGCACTGTGCCACACACATCTCGCGCCGCACAGTGCTACATTGTGGATGCAGTGTTTTATTTGCGGGCTGTTTTGTTGCCAGTTGGCAAAGTGTCCTTATCCTGCTCTACCCCAGGCTCTGTTTTATTTAGCAAAAAATACTAAAGATTATTTCTTTAAGTATATACTTTTTTGTTTCACCCCGGAACAATGGGTAATGTAAATTAGAGGTCTGAACAATTCATTTCTCATGACATAAAAACGTTTAAATTAAAACGTGTTTTGTTCAAAGTTACTTTTTCATCTTACTCATGTTGAAACTTTTATAACACAGACAGAATGAGTTAATGAATCTATAATTAAAAGCTAACACAGATTTTTTTTTTGCAGGAGAGTTGAACGACAGATCTCTTAGCACGAACACTGCCAAACAGCCACAAGAGGCGATCCTACAAATCACGGCACCATTATCAGCAGCTTGTAAACAATAAACAAATAACTGATGTAATGTAATTCATATACACTAAACTAAAAATATCTCCTGCAAACACTTTTTTTTTACTTTGTCGTTTTGTTAAATATTTAAGTAGAAGAAGAAACGTGAACATTTTTCGTGGGCAAGGCGAAGAATCTGCCAGGGTTTCAGCCGTCCGTCTTCTTCACGGGTGCCAGAAATTATTTATCAACAAGAGAGTCACAAATCCACCCCAAGAGTTCTTCTCAAATGAAAAACGAGGCAGTTTTTTTTCGTCTCTTCCCCCCCCCCCGTGCACAGTTACAAATCTCCGCAGATTTTTCGAGTCGGCACATAAATACGGAGGAGCCACGATAGCAAACAAAAGGCACTGTTAAATACAGCTGCGGTTTTGTGAGCAGGAGGCATTGTTTATCAAAGTCGTTCAGTAATTCTGCTTTTAAAAGTTAACTTTTTTTTTTTTTAGCGGTGGTGGTGGTGGTGGGCTGCTCGGTGGCAGGCACCAAGATGGTGCAGTTTTCGTTGGGCGGCTTGGAATTCAGAAGCTCTCGACGAAGCTGCCCGGGAAGAGGCCGGTCTTGCCGTTGCGTTGCAACGTGCCCTTGTACCACCCGTCGTCCCGCTTGCGGTGAACGAAGACCACGTCCCCTTCTCTCAGCTCCAGCTCCACGTCGCTCTGCGGTGGGTAAGGGACGACCACGCGGTACCTAGGGACGGCCCGGCAAAGGGGTCAGGGTTAAGGTAAAACAGCGATTTGTGTTGTTCGGGGGGGTAGAAATGTGCAGGGGGATGATGACGGGGTAGGAAATGGGATAACACAGGATGGTTGGTTAGGGTGGCGTACCACACGCTGAAATGATTCCAATGCTGGATTGGTTAAATACAACGTTGTGTGTGTGTGTGTGTACATCCCTTTTTGTTAATCAACTGCCGGATGAAGGCTTCCCAACATTGCGCGGTTTGTGGGAGGATCTTTAATAATACTTAGGCACGCTAGTCAGAGCGCGTTGAAGGTGGGAGGGGGGCAAACAAGCTCAATGCATTTCTGCATTGAGCTTGTTTGACAATACTTCGCCACGCTGGTCAGCATGGGCTTACGACGGCAGGCAAGCACGAAGTACCATACAACAATGGACTTTGCTGCACTACCGTCGGTGCCCAACCACGTAGCCTCACAGCTTCAGAAAAAACTCGATAATGGTACAGCGGTCGCCCTCCCAAGCACTATCCAGGCTCCACCGCCTGCTTAGATCCCAAGGTCTCACGAGATCCGGGTGATTGGCTCGCAGGCACAACTCGTGGTACAACCGACCTGCGCGTCACATGTTCTGCCTGGTGCGGGGTGGTGCACAGAGGCCGGGTCAACGGCGGCTTGGTAGTCGGAATTTGACAACCAACGCTTTTCATAATGGCGTGCGGCCTCCCCATGGTCTCCCTGGATGGCAATGAATAGACCGGTGATGGTAATTCATCAGACGTCTGCGGTGTGTGCTCGGGTAAGGGGAGGCAAAAAACATAAAACGAATAAAATGCAGAAATTGCAGGGGATGTGCATTGTCAGTTTCTAAAAATTTCCAGACGTGATCGCACAAAGTGTAGCCACTGCAGCACTGTACACACGCATCTGCAGGAAATTACTTTGGTGCAGCGGTTCTCTGCTGGGTGCTACAAAATAAAAAAAGCATTAAAACAATCAGCTCTGGAAACACTTTCTTGGAAATATTCCTTCGGCTTTATGTGGGGAGGGCCTCCGAGCCAGCTGTTTGGATGGCTGTACAAATGCCCAATGGGGGTTTAGAGGACGAGGAATCGTTATTTACTTTAAAGCCCAAAAGGCATCGAAACATTTGCAATTGTTGCGATAAAACGTGATTTAGATATTGTTTATTTCGCTCCGTTTTTTTTGGGACCTTGCCACACACGTGCATTAAGGTGACAACTCAGATAAAAAAAAAAGTGAAAAACCTCTCTCGCCTCGACGTTTAAAGGAGAGGGGGACATAAGTATTCTCAACATGAAACCGACATTGCGCTTCCTAGAAATAGCATTAAGCTGCGAGTGATAAAAAAAAACACAAACAGACAAACAAGAAAAACAGAAGCGGGTGAGACAAGTTTACGATTATGATTTAGCATCTGCTTTGCTATCGCTTCACATGAATACAAATCCCACACATTAACACACCCGAGACACTGAAAACTACCTCCAGTGGTTGTTAAGATTCGGCCTGATTTATTGCCACTTGGGAAGAACAAACATTTGAAATGTATTTTATAAAGAGCGCGCCACCCTGGGCAGCGAGGCCTACGCTCATCATTATTGGGGGCACCACGGTGGCGAGAAGTTAACTACTATGCAGGAGGTGGTGGGTTCGATCCCGACCCTGACACCCTGCTGCTGTATATTTGGAGTTTGCATTTTCTCAATGTGGTCGCGTGGATTTTGCCTCTGGGTCCTCCGGTTTTTCCCCTCCACATGTAGAAACAACACGCAGTTCGAGAGTTTGGCTGCTATACATTTTCACTTGAGAAGTCAATTTGTTGAGATACCATTTGTGGCCAGGTCGCAAATGAAAACGAGTTACACAGCTCAGTGGGTCTTATCTGGTAAACAAAAAAAAATACCCTCTCGATGTACAGCCACACTGGGTGGGCAGCCATGGTACAACGGTTAGTGCTGCGCCGTGAATACAGCGGCCCGAGTTCAATTCCCTGCCTGGTGGGTGACAAAGGTGGTAGGGCGTGGTTCTGACCCGTGCAGACTCGCTAGCAGCACTTGCCCCAAAGGGTCTGTTGAGGCTATGCGGAGGAAAACTTTGCCTTGTGTATGCACGTGTGTGTGTGTGCGCGCGCATGTCCAGCCCTTTCAGGAATAAGATGGATGTCAGATATGGTCTCACGTGGGGTGGGTGGTGGAGTCTGGAGTCTATTTCCGGGGAATGAGCGTGCTGGTTTGCGAAGGCTCTGACCGCAGGATGGATGATGTGTGAACGAAGCGCCAGATGAGAAAACAAAAAAGCTACATCTGGGCATGAACACACCAGACGGCAGCGATAGCCGCATGCCCTCGCGTCGTGCGCTCACCTCACAACGGCGAGTGCGCTGCCACTTTTTGAAGAAATTATTTTAAATGTTCTTGTGCATTATTTCAGGTGTACGTATGGATATACGCGAACACTTTCACAGTGTCACGAACGACGGGAGAACTAAATAAAAATTCCGAACAATTTTCAAGATTTTTTTTTAAACGTAAATTTCAAATCCCTTCAATTCACTTCTAGTGTTTTTTTTCATGCCACAGCATATGAGCGCGAGTGGGTTTGGCTGGGGGGGCCCCCTATCGTTAGCTCTTCCTACCCGCTGTCACCATTGTCAAAGAGAGCAACTGCACTGTTGCCTAGATCGGGGGGTCGGGCAACCTGCGGCTCCAGAGGCACGTGCGGTGGCTCTTTAAGGCGCTGCTTCGTGGCAGTTATTTGTTCAGGACCCACCGGTCTCTCGTGTTCAGCACACGGTGCATTGCGGCTTTTTAAATATCGAGTTATTAATTTGAAGAAAAAAAAAGGCCCTTTTTTCATTGCTGACCCCTGGCCGAGACTGAACCCAGTTTTAGGATTACAAAGTGCGCGCCCCTTTGCAGATTTTTCTTTGGGAAAGAGACGATGGAAATGTACGTAACGAGTGAAAACGGTGGCATTCATACATTTTTAAAAATACATTTTAGGAGATACTGGTGTGTCGTTTGCACTGACGCGATAATCACCCACCAAATAATCATGTCACCACCGTTTCCGACAATTGACGATTCAACGTAAATATTTACCCGCCAAGTGGCCATGCCAATGAAAACAAGTTTTCCTGCAACACTTTCTTCGGGCGCTTCCCCTCACCTTGGGGGCCCGGCACAGTTGTAGCCCCCCCCCCCCCACCTTCCTCACCCCCCCCACCAGAAGAACGCAACGCAAGTCACCCACAAGTAACCCGCAATTAACCCACAACCCACAAGTAACCCACAAGTCACCCGCAAGTCACCCACAAGTCACCCGCAAGTCACCCGCAGGTAACCCACAAGTGACCCACAAGTAACCCACAAGTAACCCACAACCCACAAGTAACCCACAAGTAACCCGCAAGTCACCCACAAGTCACCCACAAGTCACCCACAAGTAACCCACAAGTCACCCACAAGTAACCCACAAGTCACCCACAAGTCACCCACAAGTAACCCACAAGTCACCCACAAGTAACCCATAAGTAACCCACAAGTCACCCACAAGTCACCCACAAGTAACCCACAACCCACAAGTAACCCACAAGTCACCCACAAGTAACCCACAACCCACAAGTAACCCACAAGTAACCCACAAGTCAACCACAACCCACAAGTAACCCACAAGTCACCCACAAGTCACCCACAACCCACAAGTAACCCACAAGTAACCCACAAGTCACCCACAAGTCACCCACAACCCACGAGTAACCCACAAGTCACCCACAAGTCACCCACAAGTAACCCACAAGTCACCCACAAGTCACCCACAAGTCACCCACAAGTAACCCACAAGTCACCCACAAGTCACCCACAAGTAACCCACAAGTCACCCACAAGTCACCCACAAGTCACCCACAAGTCACCCACAAGTCACCCACAAGTAACCCACAAGTCACCCACAAGTAACCCATAAGTAACCCACAAGTCACCCACAAGTAACCCACAAGTCACCCACAAGTCACCCACAAGTCACCCACAACCCACGAGTAACCCACAAGTCACCCACAAGTAACCCACAAGTCACCCACAAGTAACCCACAAGTAACCCACAAGTAACCCACAAGTCACCCACAAGTAACCCACAAGTCACCCACAAGTAACCCACAAGTCACCCACAACTAACCCACAAGTAACCCGCAAGTAACCCACAAGTCACCCACAAGTAACCCACAAGTCACCCACAAGTCACCCACAAGTCACCCACAAGTAACCCACAAGTCACCCACAAGTCACCCACAACTAACCCACAACTAACCCACAACTAACCCACAAGTAACCCGCAAGTAACCCACAAGTCACCCACAAGTAACCCACAAGTCACCCACAAGTCACCCACAAGTAACCCACAAGTAACCCACAAGTCACCCACAACCCGCAAGTAACCCACAAGTAACGCACAACCCACAAGTAACCCACAAGTAACCCACAACCCACAAGTAACCCACAAGTAACCCACAAGTCACCCACAAGTCACCCACAAGTCACCCACAAGTCACCCACAAGTAACCCACAAGTAACCCAGAAGTAACCCAGAAGTCATCCACAAGTAACCCACAAGTAACCCACAAGTAACCCACAAGTAACCTACAACCCACAAGTCACCCACAAGTCACCCACAAGTAACCCACAACCCACAAGTCACCCACAACCCGCAAGTAACCCACAAGTAACCCACAACCCGCAAGTAACCCACAAGTAACCCACAACCCGCAAGTAACCCACAAGTCACCCACAAGTCACCCACAAGTAACCCACAAGTCACCCACAAGTAACCCACAAGTAACCCACAAGTCACCCACAAGTCACCCACAAGTCACCCACAAGTCACCCACAAGTCACCCACAACCCACAAGTAACCCACAAGTAACCCACAAGTCACCCACAAGTCACCCACAAGTCACCCACAAGTCACCCACAAGTAACCCACAAGTCACCCACAAGTCACCCACAAGTCACCCACAAGTAACCCACAAGTCACCCACAAGTCACCCACAAGTCACCCACAAGTAACCCACAAGTCACCCACAAGTAACCCACAAGTCACCCACAAGTCACCCACAAGTAACCCACAAGTCACCCACAAGTCACCCACAAGTAACCCACAAGTCACCCACAAGTAACCCACAAGTCACCCACAAGTCACCCACAAGTAACCCACAAGTCACCCACAAGTCACCCGCAAGTCACCCACAAGTCACCCGCAAGTCACCCGCAGGTAACCCACAAGTGACCCACAAGTAACCCACAAGTAACCCACAACCCACAAGTAACCCACAAGTAACCCGCAAGTCACCCACAAGTCACCCACAAGTCACCCACAAGTAACCCACAAGTCACCCACAAGTAACCCACAAGTCACCCACAAGTCACCCACAAGTAACCCACAAGTAACCCACAAGTCACCCACAAGTAACCCATAAGTAACCCACAAGTCACCCACAAGTCACCCACAAGTAACCCACAACCCACAAGTAACCCACAAGTCACCCACAAGTAACCCACAACCCACAAGTAACCCACAAGTAACCCACAAGTCAACCACAACCCACAAGTAACCCACAAGTCACCCACAAGTCACCCACAACCCACAAGTAACCCACAAGTAACCCACAAGTCACCCACAAGTCACCCACAACCCACGAGTAACCCACAAGTCACCCACAAGTCACCCACAAGTCACCCACAAGTAACCCACAAGTCACCCACAAGTCACCCACAAGTCACCCACAAGTCACCCACAAGTAACCCACAAGTCACCCACAAGTCACCCACAAGTAACCCACAAGTAACCCACAAGTCACCCACAAGTCACCCACAAGTAACCCACAAGTCACCCACAAGTCACCCACAAGTAACCCACAAGTCACCCACAAGTAACCCATAAGTAACCCACAAGTCACCCACAAATAACCCACAAGTCACCCACAAGTCACCCACAAGTCACCCACAACCCACGAGTAACCCACAAGTCACCCACAAGTAACCCACAAGTCACCCACAAGTAACCCACAAGTAACCCACAAGTAACCCACAAGTAACCCACAAGTCACCCACAAGTAACCCACAAGTCACCCACAAGTAACCCACAAGTCACCCACAACTAACCCACAAGTAACCCGCAAGTAACCCACAAGTCACCCACAAGTAACCCACAAGTCACCCACAAGTCACCCACAAGTCACCCACAAGTAACCCACAAGTCACCCACAAGTCACCCACAACTAACCCACAACTAACCCACAACTAACCCACAAGTAACCCGCAAGTAACCCACAAGTCACCCACAAGTAACCCACAAGTCACCCACAAGTCACCCACAAGTAACCCACAAGTAACCCACAAGTCACCCACAACCCGCAAGTAACCCACAAGTAACGCACAACCCACAAGTAACCCACAAGTAACCCACAACCCACAAGTAACCCACAAGTAACCCACAAGTCACCCACAAGTCACCCACAAGTAACCCACAAGTCACCCACAAGTCACCCACAAGTAACCCACAAGTAACCCAGAAGTAACCCAGAAGTCATCCACAAGTAACCCACAAGTAACCCACAAGTAACCCACAAGTAACCCACAAGTCACCCACAAGTAACCCACAAGTAACCTACAACCCACAAGTCACCCACAAGTCACCCACAAGTAACCCACAACCCACAAGTCACCCACAACCCGCAAGTAACCCACAAGTAACCCACAACCCGCAAGTAACCCACAAGTAACCCACAACCCACAAGTCACCCACAAGTCACCCACAAGTAACCCACAAGTAACCCACAAGTCACCCACAAGTCACCCACAAGTAACCCACAAGTCACCCACAAGTCACCCACAACCCACAAGTAACCCACAAGTAACCCACAAGTCACCCACAAGTCACCCACAAGTCACCCACAAGTCACCCACAAGTCACCCACAAGTAACCCACAAGTCACCCACAAGTAACCCACAAGTAACCCACAAGTCACCCACAAGTCACCCACAAGTCACCCACAAGTAACCCACAAGTCACCCACAAGTCACCCACAAGTCACCCACAAGTCACCCACAAGTCACCCACAAGTCACCCACAAGTAACCCACAAGTCACCCACAAGTAACCCACAAGTCACCCACAAGTCACCCACAAGTAACCCACAAGTCACCCACAAGTCACCCACAAGTAACCCACAAGTCACCCACAAGTAACCCACAAGTCACCCACAAGTCACCCACAAGTAACCCACAAGTCACCCACAAGTCACCCACAAGTAACCCACAAGTCACCCACAAGTCACCCACAAGTAACCCACAAGTAACCCACAAGTCACCCACAAGTAACCCACAAGTCACCCACAAGTAACCCACAACCCACAAGTAACCCACAAGTAACCCACAAGTCAACCACAACCCACAAGTAACCCACAAGTCACCCACAACCCACAAGTAACCCACAAGTAACCCACAAGTCACCCACAAGTCACCCACAACCCACGAGTAACCCACAAGTCACCCACAAGTCACCCACAAGTCACCCACAAGTAACCCACAAGTCACCCACAAGTCACCCACAAGTCACCCACAAGTCACCCACAAGTAACCCACAAGTCACCCACAAGTAACCCACAAGTAACCCACAAGTCACCCACAAGTCACCCACAAGTAACCCACAAGTCACCCACAAGTCACCCACAAGTAACCCACAAGTCACCCACAAGTAACCCATAAGTAACCCACAAGTCACCCACAAATAACCCACAAGTCACCCACAAGTCACCCACAAGTCACCCACAACCCACGAGTAACCCACAAGTCACCCACAAGTAACCCACAAGTCACCCACAAGTAACCCACAAGTAACCCACAAGTAACCCACAAGTAACCCACAAGTCACCCACAAGTAACCCACAAGTCACCCACAAGTAACCCACAAGTCACCCACAACTAACCCACAAGTAACCCGCAAGTAACCCACAAGTCACCCACAAGTAACCCACAAGTCACCCACAAGTCACCCACAAGTAACCCACAAGTCACCCACAAGTCACCCACAAGTCACCCACGCACTCTGCACTTCTCACCGTTCCCGCTGGAGCGGCTTCGTTTCGGGCCTCACGGGCGCCATCGCCGAGCACGGCTGGCGGGGGGGAGGGGCGACCGGCGGGGTCAGTGACCTTCCATGACCTCCGACCTCCGCCGCCGCAGTAGCCCCCATTGGATGGGTTTCGGGCTGCTGGGCATCGTGGGTAGACTGTGGAGGGGGTGGCGAGGCAGAGAGCGGAGGCGAGCGAGACTTGCGCTTGGCCGAAGCGCTGGACAGGATCTTGAGGAAGCTGCTCTTGCGCTCCTTCTGTGAACGGCACGAGAGCGGCGGCGAATGTGAGACAGAAGTGTGGCTATTGGTTGAACGAGTCAGCGGTTGAGCGAGTGAATGCGAGAGAGCGAGTGAATGCGAGAGAGCGAGTGAATGCGAGAGAGCGAGCGAGTGAATGCGAGAGAGCGAGCGGGCGGCACGGCGAGCGAGCGCGAGGGCAGAGAGAGAGAGCGAGCTGTGGCAGCGAGTTTACTTGCCACAAAGCAGGTGGGCTCGTCACGGTGGGGGGGGGGGGTGGGGGGGGTGTGGGGGGGGTGGCGGCTAAGCTCGCGACGCACCTTGTCCTTCTCGCCCTTCTCGGGCTTCCCGCCGGCGCCGGCCGTCGCTCCTCCCGAGGCGGCGGAGGAGACGGGCGCAGACGAGACGCCGGAGCCCCCGAGTGCGGCCTGCTCGTCGAGACTCGCGGCGCTCACGTTGGGCGGCGTGATGGCGGATGCCACGCTCGCCAGGGCGGAGGAGAGCGAGGGGCACGGGCCCGGCGCCGGCGGCGCCGGCGGCAGCGCGATGACCGGCGCCGGGAGCGGCGCGGCCGGCTGGGGCCGTGCCGAGGCCGCCGAGAGGCGCGGGGAGCCGCCCTGGGACTGGATGGGGGGCACAGCCGCCACGGGCTTGTCCGTCGACGATGGAGCTAAGCGCACAGGCAGGTGTGTGTGTGTGGGGGGGGGGGAGAGGGTACACGCGCGCGTGTCAAACGACGTGTGCGCACGAGTCTGGTGTAAAATGAACGCCACGCGCGTAAGAGAACGCGCGTGGCGCGCAAAACGACGCACGGGAAACGCAGTGAGGCGACGTATGGGCAGAGGCGGAACACGCACGCAAAGAGCACACGTATTAGCGCCTCCGGTTAGCATGGTTGGCTATGTACGGTGCAAAAGAAGTTTAACATGCATACAAAATCCATACAGATGGGCCAGCAACACAGCTGCTGTACCGCCATCTAGAGGCCACTTCGTAGTCCTGCGGGTTGGTGTTTCACGTACACAATGGAGTCCGTGCGAACGACCAACTTTGGCTCCAAAGTGTTGCTTTTCAGGTGATATTAAAACGTGTCACAAACTCCGCTCATGTTAAAAGTGACACGTAGAAAACACGGCAACGAGACCCTCGATATCGTAACTTGTTCCGACGTCTGTTCATGTAAAGTCCACGGTGGCGGAGACAAATTGTGAGGCGGTGCTCACGAAGCACATTACGATCCACGAGGTCCGAAGCTTGATTAACGAGGCTCGGGTTTTAAACTCGGATTAGCGGAAACAGAAGATAGACGTCTAACCTCCGCGCCACCACTTTGCCACGCAAACACAAACACACACGCGCGTGCACGCACTACTAACCATTATTACTAGTAGGCCTCGGGCTTCATGAGCGGGAGGAGGCGGTTTGGGAAATGTACCGCGATGGAGTAAATACTAGACAATTGGACACTGAAATGAGCCGGAGGGCGGAGCGGAGCGCAGGCAAGGCTCACGGCCGCACGTGGCTTCGTTTAATGGCAGGACGAGCATGCCCCCTCGAGCTGAACGCCACCGAGTACCGTGGGAGATTTCGGTGAAAGTCAGAGCGGCAGCTGTGGGGTTGCAATGCTGGGTCACAGAACCAAGCGGCTGATACAAAACATCTGCTTTTGGAACAATTTAAGCTGTTTCACTGCCTACCCGTTAAAAGAATGGCAATGTTTTTTTTCCCCCTCCTCCTTGAGACTGGACACGCTTTAATGCGGCAGCCAGCCCGAGACGTTAGATTGCATTCTACCGAACGCAAACGTTTGATTTATTAATTTTAGGTTTTCAACAGAGTGATGCGGCTTCCCGTCGGAGTTGCCGAGACGCTCGGGACGTCGCAAAAGTCTGCGGGCGATGGCGGCTGCTTTTTCTTACGATTTTTTTAATTTTCATTTCCCCCACCGAACCGTAACGCTCATTTGAAGAGCAAAAAGAAGAAAACAATTGAAAGCGATTGTTAAAAAAATAAAGGCAGTGCAAACACGGTGCCGCATCCTGATCCGAGTGGGCGCTTGCGAGCTAGGGGGGTTGTGATTGGCAAATTTTATGGAGCGTGTCCAAAATTTATTTTACCCGACTTCTGAGAAAAGGGGGAATGGCATTTCACTTTTTCTTTACAATGACAGACTAACACGCCAAATCGCTGCCAGCCTTGAGTTTGAATTCTCCTCACATGACTCGCCCGAGAGAATAACAACTCCGATAACTCAATCGGCTAAACAAACCATTTATCTGAATTAAGGACAAATTGGGCTCGCCTGCAAAAGCAGCAGCTCTATACATGCAAGGGAAAATTGTCGACTTGCGACGCCGACTATGAAATACGTATTAAATGTAAAAATCACGGTTCTTACAATAGCGTAATTGTAATCTTCTTCCTCGTAATATTATTCAAGGATCGAGCCTCCTATGTCTTGTTCCATCTCACTTGTTCTGACACTTACCATATTGGGGAAGCATGTCCACAGATTTTTCCATACACCGGAAGTAACGTATTCATGTCGAACGATTTTAATCGATAAATTGCTCCACGCCTAACGCCACGTCAACTACCGACACACAAACCATGGACTGTCGTGCCACCTCCTGTGCAGTGGACATCCAATCCAACACCACACCACACCCTCCATTGTCATGCCACAAAAAAGCTACCCATCAAAATACCGCACAAGCCGGTGTCGATCGGGTCCCCTGGTATGCCACCCAACAACCCAGCACATGAACCACCCCCCATTCCACGCCACCCACTACTATGCAATGCAACCCGATACTACATACCACCCCATGGAATGTAGTACGACCCAACACCACACGAGACCATCCAATCTCAAGCTACCCATCACTCTACCACACCAACACACAAACACAACACCACCCACTGCTACACAATGCCACCCAATACACAATTCCAGTCATCCCACGACACACACGAACACACCATATAACATAACACACCATACCACTGACTGCCATCCCTTTGCCACAACGTGCCCCATTGAACCTTTCCTCCTTATCAATAATTGAGGGTTGCACTGGAATATGCTCATAACCCACGTGTACATACACATTTAAGATAACCCATGCTAACTTCATTGCAATGCTTTATAATCCACTTTTAACGGTGTGTACTGTATCATCTGAGAAAAAGAGCTTCATAGTTCCTCCAGTCTTAAATTAAGATTCTGATCTCACACCATCAAAATACCACACGAATCCATTGCCTTGTTACCCATCATGATGGCCTCGTCACACCCACCTCGCCACACCCACCTCGCCACACCCGCCACGTCACGCGATCAAGGTACCTGGCCGCACGCCGTTCTGCGCGGGTCCTTGGGCCACGTGCCTCGCGGCGGTCGCGGGGCCCAGTCGCGGGCTCGTCGGCGGAGCGGCCACGGGACACGCGGAGAGGCCACCGCCGTTGCTCGCCTGAGAGGTCGTCACCGTGGCGATGGGGACGGTCACCGTGACAGCCCTGCTGCTGCTGGTGCAGCTGGTGCTGCAGCTGGAGTTAGCGGAGCCGACCGGGGGCGGCAGCTTCTGCTGGGGAACCGGCGGCGCCCTGGGACGAGGAAAGGCGGCACAGTTCCACCCGGGGTCAAGGCTCGGAACGTGCCGATCAGATGGGCCGTGCAGTGCGTGGGAATGGCCAGCGGATGGCGTGAGACTGATTCGTCGCCGGCGTGAGAGCAGTGGTGGGTGGGGGAGGGGGCAAGGGAAGTGACCAGGAGGGGATTGGGGGCAATAGCTGTGCTCAAAGTATGATTAAAATAATAAGTAACAAAAATACTCGTGACTGTGGGAGCAGCAGAACGTTCGTTGCTAGGCACTGTGCGGCATTCCGAAGGTATTGTTGCGATTCTGTAAGGGGACTCTCCCGGAGTGTTTTCGGGTTGTACCGTCCAACGTTTCGCTCCACGCGCTGGGAGCCCCTCTTCAGAAACTGAACAACGCTCGGTGCAACCCAAAAAATAACAAGTCGGAGAGCTGTACAATACGCCCCGCGAAAACCCTAGGCCATAGTATTTACCAGCAGGTGCCGTTCAACTCTCGTAAAAGGGGGCAACGCTTTTCGTGAAGGCTTTATGCAGCCATCACGAGCTTCCAACGGCACACAGAAACGTGTAAAAAGGCATCCAGCCTTTGTGCATTATGCAACAGGCATCAGCGGTTCCTGAAGAGGTGCCAGTGTTCTATTCGTCTTAGATCACCGTCAAAATAAATGGGCAAATGTGACCGACTGACCAGGCAGCTGTGGATACATGGCAGCTGTGGATACAGGCAACTGTCGACCGGCTCCATTCTCATTAGGACTCATCAGTACAGGATAGTCCCTGCTGCAACGTCTGCCTCGGGAAACCATGAACCATTACGGGGCCGAATGCAATCCTAGAAGGTGACCGACGCCTTTTATGGCCTTGGAAGGCAACGTCCAGCCGCAAAGCAGGGCGAGTACACAACCTACGGATGGCGTTGTGAAACTAGGACTGTGGAGCGGGGTGTAAATACGGGCATTGTGCACATTTTACAAGGCTCAAAGTACAAGACCGAGAAGGAAATGCTTTGGAAAAAAACACCGTGGAGCCCCTTGCAAGGCACTGCGGAGGACAGCGAGCAGGTGTCTTTGGGGCCTGTGGTGCGTGCCTACGATCCCGGTGCTTCGTGGGAAAGGGTTGGTGGGTCACCGAGATTTAATCAACTCCCCAAGCCCGCTGGACCGCAAGGTAGCCAGAGCGTGGCAGTGTGTCGCAAGTGGGTTTGTGCACCAAATCTGTGCAGAGCATTGTGGGCGAGTCCCCCCTCCGCCCCCCTCCCCTCCAATGGGTTTTGCAGCCAGGTACGACGGATTCCGGCCACGGCTAACGTCAGTGGCGAGTGGATATCTGCACCGGTACCGGGCTCTCCTCTAGCCTCTTCGCGAAGCCGCACTGACCAGCGCGCGGTGAAGTATGTTCAAAGAGAACTTCAGAATCAGAACCTTTATTAATACCGAGAGGAATCTGATGAGCTATTAAAAGCTATCTTTCACAGATGTCCAGTAGGGGTGGGTCAGAACGTTACAAAAACAAACAATACAAAAGCACAATAGGAGTGTAAAAAGTATAGGAAGGTAGACCGTTTATCTCCCAAAACAAAGTTAAACAATCGTCATTAAAGCAAAATTGGCTCAACGTGCCGAAGCAGGACCCATCTTAAAAACATCCTTGGGACTCAACGCGAGGAGGCTTCTACTGGCTGAGAGGCAGCACGCTTTGTCACTTTCTGCAGCCCACAAGGCCTTAGAGAACCACGTGACACTATCCAAAAAAAAGCGTCAGGCCATGTGTGCGCCCAACCACCCTACAAATTTTTGCCAAACCTACGAACCACTCCCAAAATGACCTCCCCTTCTTCTTCCACGCCTTTTGTCCCACTCATGTGGGATGTCGCCCCGCCCATCCCGCCCAACCCCTCTACTGCGGAACTCCTGCAGCAGAATCGGCGCGAATACCGAACTCGCTCACGCTCGCCACGCGGTTCGACGATCGCGCGGAGCGCCGGGTCAGTGAACGCGGCGACGCGGCGCGGAGCTTACCGGTTGACGGGCGCGACGTAGTTCCCCGGGAAGACGCCGGCCGTGCCGGTGCGGAGCGACGATCCCTTGTACCACCCGTCCTGGCAGCGCTCGAGGACGCGGTACATCTCGCCCTTACGCAGCTCCAGCTCGTCGGCCTTCTGCGGCTTGTACGGGTACAGCGCCACGAAGCTGCGGGGAGGAACGACGACGCACCGAGGGCGAGCGCGGTTGGCTACGTACGTGTGCGAGAGAAGTTCAACGTGCGCGCGCACGTACATTCGTCACAGTCTGCCAAGAAAAAAAAAAAACCACACACGTGGCCCTGAAAAGTTGATCTGAGCGGGAGACGCCAGGCACCATTTGTCTCTCTTCAGCTCGGACACCGTGAGGTCACGACCGCTGCTGAGGGCAGCTCAGGTGCCCAGGTCGGCCCGGTAAGGCTGCTGTGGGAATCAAGTCTGGCAGACTGAGAGGGGAACTGGGTCTGCATGCTTCCGAGAGGCCATGGGAACGTGACATGAGTTTCCGCACCGAGCGATGACGGAACTCTATGATCGCTTGCTAAGTTTCGAAACGGCTAAAACTTTTACTTTTATTTTATCAGGTTCAGGACCATTGAGCTCTATAAGCTCGTTTTCAGAAGCGACCTGGCTATCACAAATGATAGCTCAACGAAGTGGATTTTATCATGTGGACATTTATTGCAGCCGAATAATCTCACCGCATGTTTCTAAATGTGGAGGAAAGAAACCAGAGGACCCGGAGAAAAATCCACGTAAAGATGGGTAGAACATGCAAACTGCAAATATACAAACGTCAGGGTTGGGATCGAACCCACGACCTTCTGTATACCAGGTGAGATAGTTAACATCTCGCCACCGTGGCTATCGTTTTCCGGGTGTACCTTCGGCTCAAACTCGGTGCATTCTCAATTCCAGGTGGTTCCCAACTCCTCGTGGGGCCAGCTCTGGTAATCAAGTTTTTTTGTCAGATTAGCTCCATACATTATGAAACTACCTCCCATAAAAATTGCAATCATACCCCTCTCTGTCCGGTTCAAAGTTGGGCATCCAAAGGCGTCTCTTTTCCGTAATGGAATTCTCAAAATAAGCACCGCCTCCACTAGAAAGATAGAGAGGAGGACGCGTGCAGTTTATTGGATGAATGTTGCATTACTAATTGCCGAACGTGATGGGAATATCGCGCGGAGCGCCTTTGATTGCATGTTCAACAGAAGAGGGCCATGTCACCGTGACCTCGGTGCCCTCATTGGGTCACGTCAGTCACCTCGGTGAAGTGCGAACCGCGCGATGCGTTCTGGAGCCGCGACGGGAAAATGTGCACGCAATTGAGTGCTTCACCATCCCTGGAGAGCTGCCAAGTACAAAATTAACTTAATTATTGACTGCCTTAGCAAAAGATTTGGGAGTATTTTGCTCGGTGTGCAGTACAATGAGCAGCAATTCACGTTTCTGCATGCCCGAAATTATATTCATAATCAGTAATTAATAAACAATGCATTTTTTACAGTGATAAAAGGCTTACTGGGTCAAAAACTGAAATCGATCCTTTTTAAAGAACAGCAGCGCTCTGAGCGATGGTTTATGGCAAAGTTAAAACGTGTTGCGGGACTGGAAATTCTTGTTTATGCCACTGTTAGCAGACCGGCTCCCACTCAAGTACAGGCGATCTGTTGTCTATTTTGGCCTACTCTTACAAGCTGGTCAGACGTCTTAAAAGGTGAACACCCAAACTTTACCACACCACGTGCGATCTAACAATCGATTAACTCGTTTACCCATTCACACTTCCGGGTGAACAGAGAGGCAGGAGGGGGTTATTTGAGAAACTTTACCATATAGCTTCAACTGCCTTGCCGGGAGAGATCAAATCAAACCGGCGACCTCCGAATCCTAAGTCCAGTGGCGCTAACCACGGCATGATCCCTGAAGGCTTACGGGGTCACCCGCGGAACAACAGAACATTCGCCGACAGAAGAGAGATTTCACGGGTCACGGCTACCGATTGCCCCCACCCAGGTTCACCGCAAGTCCCGTGACCTGGTGACCATTAGTGCTTCTGTGCAAGACTTCCACCGCAAAGGGGCAGCAGGCACACCCCGAAATCCACACCCCGGATACCTGGGACCACAGGTTGTTTCCATTAAACCCAAAGAAAACATTTCCATTTCTCTTTTGGTAACCGGTTGGCGAGTGCCATCCGTCACCCAAATGACACTCTGGGCAAGGCCTTCAAAATAAACCAAGGTGGTCCCCCTCCCTCCATGCGGACGCGCGACAAGGAGGGGGGTTTAATCGCGAGGACCGGCGAGGATGAGATCGGGGGATGTCCAGGGTAATTGGCTACCCAGGACTTCATAACCAACAAACTGCCTCTGTCACAGAGATCAGGACTTTGATGAGAGAAGGTGAACGGTGTGGATATAAAAAAAAAATCACAGGCAGACGATACAAATACACGCGCCATCAAAGAGTGCGGCTGTGGAGTGTTCCAATTAAGCGAACACGGATCACCTTAAATTATTACGATGCGGGGTTATCAACGTTTTGCAGGACACCCCTCAAACTGATTAACAGCGATGGGGAACGATTTCAAGGTGGCACATCGCGGCAAAGGCACGGTGGTGCGAGATTTGGTGCCGCGGTACAACTGGGCGCTACGGCCGATTGGGTGACGGCGCTGAGCGGTGCGACTTATCGTTCGGGTGTCATGTTGCGGCGAAGACGATGAGGTGGCACCGGACTGGCTGGTACGGTACGTTGTTGGGTGGTATTGCACGCATTGCATCGGGTCAAATGGAGCATCGCGTGGGAATTCCAAAGCGCGAGGAAAGCAGCAGGAAGGAGAGAGTTTTGAGCTGGAAGAACACAGCTCGGATGAGATGCAACCATCAGTGTTGTTGGGATATCCGGCGTGCTGTATTGTTTGATGCTGTCATCGGGTAACGTGTTGTACCGTCAGGTGGCGTGCTGTACTATTTGGTGCTGTATTGTCGATCGACGTGTTGTATTGTTTGGTGTTGTATTGTTTGGGGCTGCATTGTCTGGTGCTGTATTGATTGCAGCTTGGCATGCCGTGACCTTCTCCCGGCACCACTCACATCTGGATGAGCGGGTACTGCTGCGGAGGAGGCCTTGGCACAGGAACGGCGGGCTCCGTCGTCCCGGCGGCCGACGGCAGCGCGGGACGCGGCAGCGGCATCCCGGGGACCACGGCCGGGGTGGCGACCACGGCAGGCAGCGCCTGTCCCTCCTGCGGATGGCACAGAGGGAGGGCACCATCACCATCGACGCCGGCCAGCCGGCCACCACTACGCGGCCAACACACTCGACCGTCCACGGACGGGGATGGCTGCGCCCGCACGTTTTAACGGGAGCGCTCCTCACCCGTCGAGGGTCAGTGGACTCGGTGGCCCACGTGACCGCAAACGTTTCGGCGAGCGAACACGTGTGACTTTAAAGAGACGATACAGCACAAGATTCGTTTTATGTACGCACCCAATTCTCGGTAAGAAATAAATACGAATTCACACCGGGTGGGACTTCACAGTTGTGCTGTATAGTTTTGTGATGTGTATTTGTGAAACAATGCCTCAACGCTGCGCTACACGCGCAGAAACCTCCCGGCACGAGGAGTGAATCGTCGTTCATCGTGCCGAACAACACGCAGTGGGGGGTACAACCCGAAAACACGTCGGAGAGAGACGCACGTTTCGCACTCCCCGTGTTTTTGTTCTCGGTGGGCCACTCCTTCATTACCCAGAGATAATGGGGAGTCCACCGTGCACATTACGCGCTCACGTTCGTGCCCCACATACAAGGCCGCCTAAATAGTTGCCGAACCACGACATGGACCCTCTACCGTGGTTATCTGCCAGCCACCACTTTATTTCGCTGCTTGGCGCAGCCTTGGGCAAGGCCAGAGCAACATGTATATTTTATGCAAGTATGTTGAACTTCTTTCTCACCGAACGTAGCCAACCGTGCTTTGCTGAACATACAGGCCCAAAAGGCCCAAAATGCCAAACAGCTAGCAACACACGGCACGACTAAAGGTGTTACGAATAAGCGTTGATTGAGCAAATTTAAAACAGCTCGGGGAAAATGCAAAAAAAAAAAGTCGATGGGAGATAATTCCAAATTCGAGCAGTGCACGGGACGGAGTGGAAAGAGAAGTGCTTTGACCTGCAGGGTGGTGGTTGAACAGTGTGGATGACACGACACATTTAATCTTCCACATGTGTCATGCGGTTCCCGTGGATTCCACACGGATTCGTCTGTCTCCATGATGATAGATAGCAAGACACCACGTGTGAGTAGATAACGATGGCAGGCCTGTTCTATTGAACACATCTGAGCAAAACGTTTGGATTTTCCTTGCTACTCAAAAGGACTTGCAACCCAAGGACACGAGGTTTTTTTTTCACCTGGAAAATACCTTGAGATGGAACATTCCATTGCAAAGGTGTCTACACACGTTCACTCATAGCTAACACGGAACGATGATACGCGCGCACAAACATTTAAAATCTGTAACTCGTACAGTAATGCATCGGATAATGAATGTGATGGCCAGTCAACACACGCAAATATAAATACATCGTCATTATGACAAGGGATGACATTGCACCCGACTCTGGAATTAGACTGCATATGAACCAGCAGAGGGGCAGACGGGATTTGGAGTATCCGTGGTAAAAACCCCTTGTGCAAAATTTCACCTCGTGGATTTTTCCTCCGGGATTTTCCCTCCACATTTACAAATCAACATCACGTGTTTAGAGTATTCGGCTGCTATAAATGTCCACATGATGATGAGCCACTTCCTTGAGCTAGCATTTGTGGCCAGGTCGTTTCTGAAAAATAGATATATATCTTAGTGCACCTTAGCTAATCAAACACATTTTTTTTTAAATAGTTAAATCCACGACGTGCCTACGTGCGGAGCGTGCCGGTGACCACCATACGAATAAACGTTGCACGTGGCTCGTCTATCGACCCCCCCCCCCCCAACTCCAATCCCGGACAACAACAACAACACACTTTCGAGCGCGTCGTGGAGAGCCATGCAAAGTGGTCTTCTTTCACCCAAGTGCCGCAAGCACAAACCGCCTAGGCCCGGCGACCCGTGACGGCAAAAGCACCCTGGGGAAAGGAACGCCGAGCGGCCCGTGACCAAACGGGCGCACGTATTGTCACTCGACATTTTTCTGCAGCAGCTGGAGGGAGGGGGCAGGGGGGGGGGGGAGGGCAAAGACAGTGGGGCCTCCAAGAGGCTTCTCGCGCGAAGAGGAAAAAAAAACGCCCCCTCGCCGTGGAAACAAAGAGCCTTCGAAAAAGGAGGGGCACTTATGTCGCAGGGAAGGGTTCGTGAAGTGGATCTTCCACCGTGGCCAACAATTTTGGCGGCATCCTCCTGAACGTCGCTTCTGACATTCGCATTCGTTGAATTGCTGTCGCACGGCGGTAAAAGAAAAGATAGTTTCCTGAAATATTTTAACAAAAAATATAATCCACTTCTGTTCTGGGATTATACCGAACGCTGTCGAGATCATCTGAATATCGTCAATGAATAACTCTGTAAGATGATCACGTGCCAACGTAACAATACTGGAACGAACGTTCATCACAAAAATTGGAAAATTGATAGCAGACGCATTTCTGCAGGAATGCAACTTCTCCGCTTCCGAGGGTCACGACTCTCTCCATCGTTAGCCTCAGCAAAATTGCGTTTTTCTAATTAAAATGTAATTTTCCTTTAAAATTTAATCAGGTTTTTTTTTTTGTTATCCCCCACCCCCAATTTCCATCACTCCCACCGCAATCGACACGGGAGGTGCAAACGGTTCCATTTTTTTCTAAACGAGTAAGGAAGCTTCTATTTGCATTTTATCTGCAGGAAATAAATTGCACCTTAAAAATTGCTACAAATTACAGACCATTATATCGTGCCCCCCCAGCCGCCTAAGAGAAATGCACCATCCATCTGTGTTTGGAGCTCGTTATTTTTAAAAAGTGGCGAAATGTCGAGAATCATAATTCCCACTGCGTCATTGGCCGTCACGTCATGCTTCATCATTCATTAAGCAAATGATACATCTGATCGGACACACACACACATTCATTACGACGGGCATGGCCGTGATTTACATGTGCAGCCACACCAGCTGTAAGCACGGCAAGGTCAATTGAGAAACGAGGGCAGCTTTACGATGCACATCACTCTCGATATTCCCCCGTAACGTTTGTTTAAACCTCATACTCAGTGTAAACGCGGGAGTTGTGACGCAATGGACCACGGGCTGCGTTATCAGAATATGTATCTGCACTGGAGGAATCCGATGAGCTATTAAAGCTCTTTTTCACAGATGTCCAGTAGCCACAGATTTCCAGTAGTTTTCACAGATGTCCACCAATCCACCTGCGAGTTTGAATCTCCGCTATGGCTACACATCGGTGGTTAGTGATATCTGAACCGGTCCTTGGCACGCCCCCCCCCCACCCCACCACCAACACGCCTACCGGCTTCATTAACACGCGCTAGCCACCGTGGGGAAGTATGGTCAAATACCCACCATGAAAAATACCGTATACAAACCTAATACCTCATTATATTAAGTTATATTTGGAGTACTTTTTCCACCAAGTGAGAGCTTGCTGAGGCAAGGAGTGTATGATGTGCTAAAAGACATTGAGCATTGGCCCTTGAAGAGTATTCGCTTTTACAACGCTGTCCTTTTAACGTTCACAATTAATTGACAATTCCTCGACCGAGGCATTTTTAAAAATGGGGGGGGGGGGGGTAAACTACAATAGCAGTTGCTCAAAGGCCTGCAAAAATGAGCACTCTCTAAAATGTCTGTGATTGATGCAAATGAAGACGGGCGAGCACCGGGGGACTGGCCACCTGTGCGGCGTCTCTCGCCTCTGTCTGGGATAATGAGCGGTCCCATGCGCTGTGAAAAGCATCGGGCTCGTTGCCTTTGAAATCACCCCCGACAGCATTTATTTGCACCATCTCTCGCCGACATCAGACACCTAAAGACTAATTTTCTTCCATCCCGTAATGGGAGACTTTTCCTCACGACTACGACAACAACAACAACACGCTACGATATTGCATTCCTCGGCGACTTGTTTTCAGTAAAAACAGATATAAAAAGACACACGCGCACTCACACGCCGGCTTACGGCCCGTGCTCGCTAGGACAAATAAGGACAGCGGGAATGTGGGTTATTCGGCCCATTTTTAAAAGGTACCATCTGTGAAAACAGGAAGCGGCGGGGCAAAAAGGCCCTGCCCGTCACACGGGGCAGGGCTTAAAGCCCAGCGACCGCGCTCGTCGCGAGAAGACCGCCGCGAAGACGCAAGAGATCACGTGCCGCGTCCCGTGTCCACTAGAGCCGCTAAGCGACTGGAAACATCGCAGCCGCGACCTCCAACGAGGAGTAAGTAACGGAGGGGCAGCCTGGGAAAGCGGACGGCAACGTGCCCTCGTGTTTTTATCATCATCATCATCATCACCATCCGTCATCCAGGATCAATCCACTGCTGGATGTAGGCCTCACACCCAGGCTGTTGACACCTCTCGCCGTTCTGTGTTGATGTCGTCCAGGACGCGTTGCACTCTTTGGGAGCCACGCTGTCGCCATTCTTGACAATCGGCCATCGTCCCCTTGCAGTGACGCATCCTGCACAAGCTCAATTGCTTCTCCTTATTAACAGCTTGAATGTCAAATTCTTGGTTCTTTCGGAAAAGTCACGTAGAAGAGAAACAATAAAATAATAACAATATAAAACAATAAAATTCTAACGACGTTTCGACTGCAACACAAGCAATCATCATCAGGTGTGAAAACCACAGCAATACGTTTTGAAAAAAGTGGCGTTTTTTTTAATTTTCAAATTTTCTTGCTGTGGTTTTCACACCTGATGATTGCTTGTGTTGCAGTCGAAACGTGAGAATTTTATTGTTTTATATTTTTATTATTTTATTGTTTCCCTTCTACGTGACTTTACCGAAAGAGCCAATAATATGAATCACTGCAGTCACGAAAGCTTTAAATCAAAAGCTTGAATGTCTTTAACCTGTGTGTGTTCTCTAATCCACGTGTTCCCCTCATCCTGTTTCTCTCGGGTTAATCCCCAGCGTGGCGCCTTTGCATTTTACCGCAGGCAATAGTCAGCTAGTGCAACTGGATGATTCCGCTCAAAATTGGCAATGGCATGAGGTAGGGTCAAGCAGCCAATGGGGCTCGTAATGGCCGTGTCGGAGTCGATGACCCAACACTGCCGAGTTCCTGAGATCGAATCCGAGCTTCAGCCACCCGTGATTAAACCGGGTTCTCAAGTCAGCAAGTTTGACAGCCTCAACTAACCACACGAAAAAAAAAAAACCCCACTCCCACTGCCCGAGAGTTATATTTTAAACACCCGTGGGATGAAAGCCACGCATTGTGTCACGTTTAACAGATCGTGACCGAGCCACCACCAGGTGCTGGCTAAGGGAGGCCTATTGAAGTGGCCCTTGTAACGTTCCTGGGAGACGTCTTCTTCTGGGGTTGTTCTGACTTCTCTAAATCAGGCTCTGCCGAGTGAAAGTATTTAAGGAATTCCAGGAGGAGCGAAGGATTTCAAAATTAAAAACGATGACTCCGTTTCTAACTCTGGAGAAGCAACTAGGACATGCGGTGCAGTATTTTGAGATTAAATTCGAGGTGCATTTTAAATATTCCCAACGGGACATAATTAAACGCGGCCGTGCAATCCACACACAGCGTTCCAACGTCAGATATTCGCAATGTACGTCGTGTAAAAAATAAATCAAGGCCTCGCTGGAAAGGGCATCTTCAAAAAAAAAACTCAAAGAATGCGCCGCTTTGTTGTTAAATTTATGCACGCGTGGGGTTGAAGCTTCTTGGTTACATAAAAGCGGCAGGACAAAAAAACAACAACCAAGAGGTACCCCCTTGTGACATTTAGTCCCTTGAACACAGCGGTGTCGGCGAACTGGGTTACAAACGCTTGTTCGGTTCAACCGGACAGACATCTCAGCAGAGAGCCGTTGCATCCCGACGATGAAGATATCGGCAGAGAGCAAACGGGCAGCCGTATTTACGAGGTTTGAAGCAGCGGATCAACCGAACGAGACAAGTGCCTCTCTTGGCTCTTCCGACTCTTCCGACACGCGATGTTACACGTCAGGAATGGAAGACGGCGAAGCTTCCAGCACGTGGAGCGATAACCTCGACCGGGAAATCCTCCACGGTAGTCGTTGCCTCCCGTGCGTAATACCACGGGCAGGCCTTTAATTCCCACTCTGCCCTGGTTATTCTTCTCTTTAAAAACAAAAATGTGAAGCTTGAAGCAAGACAAACTGTGGGCTCTGTAACACTAGCCAAAACTGGATTGTCAGACTGGATTATCGGTGAGCGTGCTGACCATTAAAAGCCACCCCCCCCAACCGCCAGTTTTCACCAATGTCCATCTCCCTCTCGGGCCAATTAAAAGTGCCAGGTTTGGGCTGGGTGCATTCCCGCGCGCAGCGCCTCTGGTTACATAAACAGCAGGTGGGACGAGTACGGCCGTGGGGTGTTGCGGCTACAAAGTGAAAAGCGCGCAAGGGATGTTTACAAGGTACAGGTGTCCTTTGGAACACAACACAGCAGCTGGAACCAGCGCGGGTGGAGGTTTTTTCCTATCTATCTCACAAACTTCAAACTGAGAGGGCTTTAACGCGAGACGAACACATTACCAGAGACTCGAGAGAGAGAGAGGCGCACGAGAAAGATGATGGATGGATATGAATGTCCTGTCCAAGTTTCCCAGCACTTTGCGTGACGGGGCGGCAAGGTGATATAGCGGTGACACTTGTGCATTGTTTCGCCTACGCCCGTGAGGTTTGTCGTTCTCCCCCCCCAGCCCCCCCCCCCCCGTTTTGCATTGGTTATTTTAATCTAGGAAATTCCAATTAAATCCCATAGCTACACAAAACCAAGTGACTGGGTACAGCGATTGGCCAATATTCCCAAATGCTGAAAACTGACTTGCAGGCTGCTCAATTGGTATTGCGCAAATAGCGACGTCATGCCCCCTATGGTGAAAACCTGGACGGACCCTCCTCAAGATAAGTCTCGAGTCGGAGACTTTCCCGGGCAAGCCAAGTGTTAGTTCATAATAAATAGTGGGATCTAAGGAACTACGGTGCAACGTGGTCAACGACAAATGGAATTGGAGTAAGAACAGTAGGCGAGAGGTGACGGGGTGCTTCAATTAATATACCTCATGCGAAGGTGGAAAGACACGAGGAAATTTCGAAGTCAAATGGATATCCAGACATGTATATGAACGGACAGATGGGTAAACCAACAGGTAAATAGACAGTGGGGCAGACGAATACACCAAGACAGAGGCGAGACAGATGAGATGACAGATACAAGAAAATTGGAATAAAATAAAATACTTTTTTGTAATAACGTTACCGAAGGAAAAGCAATATCTTGACATTTCAGCTGACTGGCCTGCTTGCGGAAATATTGAAGTTTACACAGAGAGAGTGAGAACCTTAAGTAGCCGAGAGGGGTTTGCGATGTTAAGCGACAGACCCGCTCTATTGCAATGAGCGACCAGCGTTTTTCAACATTTTTTTACGTACATTCCAGAGGCGTACAAACAGATTGCCTGAAATGTAATGAGTTAGTACATCTTATTTATGATGTTAACATCTAAAACAGGCGTGTATGCACCACCTAAATCGCTCTCTATATTCGCGGCAACAACAAAAATCGCTCTTGGAAATCGCACTGCTTTGTCCACATCCCGAGCCATTATTGTGCAACAAGGGGCGTGTTTGGCCTTTGCAAATAATAATAATAACAATGTAAATGCATAAAGCGCCCCTTAAACAATCGTTCCTGAGGGCACTCAGTGTCTTGCCACGCCCTTTACTGCACAGCCCCGCCCCTTTTCCTCAGTAGCTCCACCCCCCTGCACCCTCCCCGCCCCCACCCCCTGCCCCGCCCCATAGCAGAAAACAAATCACAGACAGATTTACATTTGACGTACAGAGAGCAAACCAGACATATAGGCAGATATTTATATCGACGGATAGGCACACAGGGAATGTGGAGGTTGACAGGCAGACAGAGGAAGACAGAGAGATAGGCGGAGAGATGAAACTAACGAGAGACAGACAAAAAAAGCTAGAAATATAAATATATATACAGATACAAATACATGTAGACCGACAGAGACAGGCAGACAGATGCGATGATGAGAAAGATTGCGCGCCAGATTTATAGTTCGCCAGATGTTAGAAGGATACACGGACGAAGCGATCTGATGATAACTATAGACATACATGCATAGAGGCAACAGACAAAGACCGCTGGACGGGCAGACGGCACGACAATGAGCATGGAGGCGACACCGAGCACGTGGCCATGCATACCGTGGGGCCAGACGGAGGAGCCCCCCCCTCTGTGTGGAAGGTGACGGGCGCTACCGTGGTAACTGGGCTAGTGGGGGCGGTTGTCACGATCAGTCCCGTCGTCCCAATGAAAATCTGGGTGGGGGAAACAAAAGTAAAAATGAATAAATGAATTCGTGAAAATCAAGCACACGGACGAGAAGGCTTTCGTACGGCTCTGCCACCGCGTGCCGTTTGGCAAGATGTCCGACGTTTCGCTCTGCGCGAGCTCGGCCGCGCTGGAAGGCAGATTGTCGACTCGTCAAAGCCGTTCTCTTTCAAAGACGAAAACCCAGTCGCGCTGAAGGACTGGATTTCTTTCTGGTCTATAGAATATTGTCAGCATGAAGAGCAACGTATATTTGCATCTCACTTTGGTAAATATCAAGATAAAGAGGTGGGACAATATGCCTCCCTCCCATTTAAGGCCATCCATTTTCAGCATCGTCTATAATTTCAAGAGCATTGGTTGAAAACACAAGCAGCCTCCAGAACAGTTGACAGTCTCATCAGCAGAGGAGTAAGGCTTGTATGAACCGATTCAAGTAAATTGCTTTATATAGGCAAGGCCATGGGATGTGTTGATGGGATGTGTCCAAAATAATGTTTTACTTTATGGGGTGGGACAGAAATGGGAAGGTGTATTGTAAGCGAATTTATTTCTTTACCATTATTATCCACGACGACTCGAAATATTATTTGGTGACATGATAAATATAGGTTGCTAGCGCCAAGTATTTATTGAGTTGTTTTGAGGTTGTCTCTTAAGAACGCACCGTTAACATTCGCTCCATCAAGTCAAGGTATCCTAAACTTTAACAAGAATTAATACATTCTGATTATAAATAATTTCAATGCACTGTGAGCATCGTCGCGGTTGATAAAAACAACATTTTTGGTGTTATTTAATCGAGTTTATTCAATTAAGAGGGGATAGTGGAATATGAAATTTGATGGCCCAAAAATATATACTTCATTCCAAAAGAAGGTCCCATTCAAGACCAGGGCTCATTTACATATCCGAAAAAACAAAAACATATTTAGAAAGTGGTGAATTAGAGAGTCAATTATTTAGTGTTCATAAAAGCTGCGGAATGGGCGGTGACTTTCACAGGGAAATACGGGGAAACTATTAACCAACCTACCAACAAACTTGACTCTAGCAGCCAAAATTCCAGCAAATTGATTGAAATATTACAAACACTTTCTCTACGCTCGAGATGCCCGCACATTCGCAACTTTTTTCCACTTACGTACACAACAACAGCAATACAAATCCACTTTCCTTTATTTCGCTTTCAGGCGCCAACGTGAGTCATGCGCGCCAAACTGAATGGCTTGCTGATGCAGAGAAGGTCACGGCGGGCTCATTATTAGAGCATCGGTCAAACCCACGAACAAACGCGCACATTTAAAAGTCCCCACAGTCGCTTCACGCAGTACGATATATGCGCGCGTGCACACACACACACAAGCCTGGCAGTGTTCCCCCCAAAGCTAATCTCGCCCCGAAAGAGAGACCGCCAGCCAGTGGCGTCTGCCGCACGCCGGTCCTTTACAACGTCGAGCAGTTTCTCACCGATCAGCCTATCAACGGCTCTGGTCACCCGGCATGCGTTCTATGAACACCCACTGACCGTGATATGATGCCCCCCCCCCCTCCCCACCAGCGGGCACCTTATTATCCTCCGACAAACACGGGCAGAGTGGGTGTTATAGAATGCAGGTGTGATGGCAAATTAGTTCTGTGCAAGCCAGTGGCGCGCGTATGCACTCACGCGTAAGTACGCTCACGCACGCTCACACGTGCGCCGATGTAAACGGGTGACGACAAATACTACACTTGCAAGGCTTTCAAACCAAGGTTCTTAAAGAGCACTGTTGCAGTTCTGTCCGTTTAATGCACGGGGGCACACGATAACCCTTAAGGTGTTCCAATTGGAAAAGACTGTCGTGGATAGTTGTGCTGCTGTTCGGGATTTCCATAAGTCTATTTTGTTTTAGTCAACTCAAGAGACCATTTGTAAGCATGATTGGTCTGCATCCGTTTGCCAGTAGGGGCGACGATTGCTGCAATGTGTATCATCCCAACTGGGGAGGCTGCGTTGGGAATTTTTCGAATTTGGCAAATTTGGACTCTGTTGCCGAAAACACAGCCGCACAACTCTGGCAATCGACGCCGTGGGAAAAATTCGCCGTGAAGCAGACGTCGCCCACTTTGACCGCAAATACACGCGGCGGTAACTGGCGGCGGCGGCCGCTGGCTTCGAAACAGCGGCGAATCTCGGCAACAAGCGGCGTAGCGCGCCTACGGCTGAGCCACCGTCGCCGCCCTTGGAAAGGAAGTTTGTCGAAATTGATTAGAAGGCTTGCCCAAAAACACGTGGGAAACAGAACAAGAAAGAAAACAGACGCCAGCGCTAAAAAAAAATATTTCTCCTGGCATCCCCCGTGCCCCGGTGGCAGCGCGCGAGCCTCGCTTCCACCGGCTTCACCTCCCAATGAGCAACGCCGCGCGGCGACGTCACCTCACGGCGTCGCGCGGCGATGTGGGACGGTGTGTCGCTGTGCGTCTCGAAACGTAACATGATTATTCTGTTCACCTCGTCTCCACCATTACATTCATATGTACAGTGAGGGGAAAAGAGTATTTGATCCCCTGCTGATGTTGTACGTCTGCCCACTGACAAAGAAATGATCAGTCTATAATTTTAATGGTAGGTTTATTTGAACAGTGAGAGACAGAATAACAACAAAATTTCAGAAAAACGCATGTCAAAAATGTTATAAATTGATTTGCATTTTAATGAGGGAAATAAGTATTTGACCCCTCTGCAAAAGATGACTTAGTACTTGGTGGCAAAACCCTTGTTGGCAATCACACAGGTCAGACGTTTCATGTAGTTGGCCACCAGGTTTGCACACATCTCAGGAGGGATTTTGTCCCACTCCTCTTTGCAGATCTTCTCCAAGTCATTAAGGTTGCGAGGCTGACGTTTGGCAACTCGAACCTTCAGCTCCCTCCACAGACTTTCTATGGGATTAAGGTCTGGAGACTGGCTAGGCCACTCCAGGACCTTAATGTGCTTCTTCTTGAGCCACTCTTTTGTTGCCTTGGCCGTGTGTTTTGGGTCATTGTCATGCTGGAATACCCATCCACGACCCATTTTCAATGCCCTGGCTGAGGAAAGGAGGTTCTCACCCAAGATTTGACGGTACATGGCCCCGTCCATCGTCCCTTTGATGCGGTGAAGTTGTCCTGTCACCTTAGCAGAAAAACACCCTCAAAGCATAATGTTTCCACCTCCATGTTTGACGGTGGGGATGGTGTTCTTGGGGTCATAGGCAGCATTCCTCCTCCAAACACAGCGAGTTGAGTTGATGCCAAAGAGCTCCATTTTGGTCTCATCTGACCACAACACTTTCACCCAGTTGTCCTCTGAATCATTCAGATGTTCATTGGCAAACTTCAGACGGGCATGTATATGTGTTTCTTGAGCAGGGGGACCTTGTGGGCGCTGCAGGATTTCAGTCCTTCACGGCGTAGTGTGTTACCAATTGTTTTCTTGGTGACTATGGTCCCAGCTGCCTTGAGATCATTGACAAGATCCTCCCGTGCAGTTCTGAGCTGATTCCTCACCGTTCTCATGATAATTGCAACTCCACGAGGTGAGATCTTGCATGGAGCCCCAGGCCGAGGGAGATTGACAGTTCTTTTGTGTTTCTTACATTTGCGAATAATCGCACCAACTGTTGTCACCTTCATCATTAGACCTCCTTTGCCAGTACCAAAATGTGATAATAGGGTTTCAGTTTTGTTGCCAGAAAAAGGGGAAAAACCCTATTATTACATTTTGGTACTGGCAAAGGAGGTCTAATGATGTAGATGCTCACCCCGAGCCCTCATTACTTTGATAGTGCATTGTCTTTGAGCTGTACACCTTTTGGAGTCATCTGGTCGAGCACCAATTGGGTCGAGGCTCAAAAGAAAGCCGTCCCTTGGTGTGGACCAATCAGTTTCTAGGACAATGCATATATTATCATAGTATGCTTTTTTGTTTGCATTTTGACTGCAGGTATTGTGGTTAATGCAGACATGAATCCTCGTAAAAAGGTTTCAGTTTTGTTGCTGGAAAAAAGGGGGAAACCCCTATTATTATATGTTGTCACCTTCTCATCAAGCTGCTTGGCAATGGTCTTGTAGCCCATTCCAGCCTTGTGTAGGTCTACAATCTTGTCCCTGACATCCTTGGAGAGCTCTTTGGTCTTGACCATGGTGGAGAGTTTGGAATCTGATTGATTGCTTATATGGACAGGTGTCTTTTATACAGGTAACAAGCTGAGATTAGGAGCACTCCCTTTAAGAGTGTGTTCCTAATCTCAGCTCGTTACCTGTATAAAAGACACCTGGGAGCCAGAAATCTTTCTGATTGAGAGGGGGTCAAATACTTATTTCCCTCATTAAAATGCAAATCAATTTATAAAATTTTTGACATGCGTTGTTCTGGATGTTTTTGTTGTTATTCTGTCTCTCACTGTTCAAATAAACCTACCATTAAAATTATAGACTGATCATTTCTTTATCAGTGGGCAAACGTACAAAATCAGCAGGGGATCAAATACTTTTTTCCCTCACTGTACCGTTCTTAATTCTTTGTAAAGGTGCTATATACGATGAGATTACTATGATCATCATCATGATGATGGATGATGAAAAAGTCAAAGAGCTTTACCCCTGAGAATGGCAATTAAAAAGGGTCCCTTAGCGACTTTTACTGCCGATTAAATATTCCCCGCGCACGTTGGGAAGCATTACAGGATCCGTTGCGTACGCACGATTATTCTTCCTTGGTATATTTCTCACTCGTGTACTATGCGTGGGCTCAATGGCCATGGCCAGGGAGGTGAAGTCACCGCGAGAGTGGTGCAAGGAGCGTTGCGATGTCTGAGCCACGGGGCTGCTGGACACAGCACTAAACACGAGCGGAAATATCCCCACACCTCCTCACCCGTCCGTGATGGTGTTATGTAAACAAAGCACCACGGCTAAAAAGCAATGGCTTAGTATTAACCAAAGAGAGACATCTCCAGCTATCCATGTCAAAGCAGATTGCTCGGAGGCATTTGTATCTTTCAGCAGGATCAAGTTTTAAAAAAAGCTTTTAGCCGGACACATCAAATGCACGCCTGCTGCTAGCTTTTAATGTGATAGAAACGCTAGAGCCGTTTGCAGATGCAGCCCTGGAATTTGATGTGAAAGTTGTGACCACGGCATGGCACCGCGCGCTCGCACGGCCGTGATCGATGCCGTTCGCAGTTAGCACGAGGCGCATTGTGCATCCGCAGGTGGCTGCGTTTGGAGCAATTGCGCCGAACGCGCCCGCCCGCCGGCCGAATTAAACCACTCGCGTTCCAAGGCTCAACTGACAAAGGCGATTCTGGCTTAACAAATTGCAGACATGCAACTACAACAGCACCACACAATGGGAACAGAACAAGCGCTACGACGATAAGGGGGCAAAGTGAAGGTCAATCTAGCGTTCCCTGATAATGTTGGTGAGGATGAACCAGATATCGGACGTTATCTTATCATTGTTATTGTAACATTTAAAAATAACCCGCCAGGTGGCTCGGCCGGTTGGGTGAGCTGTGCGCAATTCAGAATGTTTCGAGCTCAAATCCTCGCCCATGACTCCTCCCATTTGAGAAGAAAATCACTTTTACCTGATGCCTTTTATAGGGCTATTCCTCGCTAGCAAGACGACTTTTACATTTACCATTCACCAACGATCTGCTGCCCATCACTTTGGAACACAAGGGTACCCCACCGGCCCATAGCACAGCTGAAACCTTAACTTCCCCAAGTGAAGTCGAATGACTCTTGCCCAGAGGTCACGAAGGCAGGGCTAAAAAAGCCAGCCTTACCTTTGTACTTAGGGCAAAGAAAACAGGCCTTCATCCTCAGCTTCACATGTAACTTTGTACTTTTTTATTACATTCACGTAATCACGTATATCGCGACAGTCATCTCCCAAACAGTGGTGGTACACACAAACGATATATTCATATGCTGCTGGTCCTCGCAGTGGACAGAGTAATTTGCCAGACGAATCAATTCCCCCCCCCCCCAAGTTGTCTTGGTCGTTTGTTGCTCGCGCACTCGAGGTGAAGGCTTCAACCGGAAATCTACAGCTGCGGCGACGTATCAGCGAATCGCAATGTACCCCTGATGTGCGCGAGGAGCCCAGCGGTGTTAACAATGTTGTTGACAACCGCTATCGTGGGGCTATCGTGATGACGGTAGGGTCCGCCACCTCTGGAGGTACGAACAAAAAACAACAAACGAGGAATTCTCATGAGAAGAAGAGTATCTCACAAGAGCGGAAGTGGTTTGAGCTCCACGTGGAAAGCGTCATCTTGAGTTGTGTATTTATTATTATTAATAATACATTATTATTAATAATACACAACTGACAACCGCCAGGTCTTTTATCTGCCCTGGAAGATGAACAGATTTCCGAGGGCAGCTACTGATCAAACAGAGGACGATGGTGGGAAATACCAGGTCAAGTGGCAACCCTAGATGACGATGATGATGTCGACAATTATGACAACAACAATGATGATGATGATGTTGTTGTTGCTGTACATAACTACAATGATATACGCAACAAAATCACAGCGACAATGCTGGAGACACCAACAGTAATACCACGGATGACGACGATGACAATGACAACAATGATAATACCAGTAGTGTAGACAACAATAGTAACGATGATGATGATGACAACAACAATACCAGTGGTGTAGACAACAATAGTAATGATGATGATGACAGCAACAATACCAGTGGTGAAGACAACAATAGTAACGATGATGATGACAACAACAATACCAGTGGTGAAGACAACAATAGTAACGATGACAACAACAATACCAGTGGTGAAGACAACAATAGTAACGATGACAACAACAATACCAGTGGTGAAGACAACAATAGTAACGATGATGATGACAACAACAATACCAGTGGTGAAGACAACAATAGTAACGATGACAACAACAATACCAGTGGTGAAGACAACAATAGTAACGATGACAACAACAATACCAGTGGTGAAGACAACAATAGTAACGATGATGATGACAACAACAATACCAGTGGTGAAGACAACAATAGTAACGATGACAACAACAATACCAGTGGTGAAGACAACAATAGTAACGATGACAACAACAATACCAGTGGTGAAGACAACAATAGTAACGATGACAACAACAATACTAGTGGTGAAGACAACAATAGTAACGATGATGATGACAACAACAATACCAGTGGTGAAGACAACAATAGTAACGATGATGATGACAACAACAATACCAGTGGTGAAGACAACAATAGTAACGATGATGATGACAACAACAATACCAGTGGTGAAGACAACAATAGTAACGATGATGATGACAACAACAATACCAGTGGTGAAGACAACAATAGTAACGATGACAACAGACGTAACAACGACGACGGAGACAACGGACGAGTCACAGCAGCGCGGTGCCGACAACCGCACCCACCCCACCCCACCCACCCAAGCAACCCACCCACCCCACCCACCCAAGCAACCCACCCACATCACCGACCCCACCCGAGCAACCCATCCACCACCCCACCCACCACCCACCACCCCACCCCAACCCACCTGCGAGGGGGCGCTCGACGACAGCCCGTTCCCCGTGGCGGCCGCCATGATGCGCGCGGCTGCGGCCGGGTTGCTGGAGGAGATGAGCACGGGCGCGCTGATGTCGCACGAGTGCCGGTGCTGGTGCGCCACCTGCGCCTGCACGCCCGCCCCGCTCGCCTTGTTCGACATGGTGAGCGACGTGAACGAGTGACGCTTCTTGGCGTTCTTGCGTCCGCCGTCGCCTGCCGCGGCCGACGCGACCGCGGCGGCCGAAGAGGTGACGGAGGAGGAGGCGGAGGAAGAGGAGGAAGAGGAGGAGGAGGATGCGGAGGAGGTCGACGGCTGAGGCTGGCCCAGCGCCTCGCCCAGCGTGTGGATGTTGGCCGACTCGAGGCCGAGCAGCAGCTTGGCCATGGTGTTAAACTATGGAGGGGGGCATGGGTGGGGGGGGGGGGGGATCTCATTAAGCTAATATTTTTGTTTAACTAAACTATGAAACTATTTATATTTTACCAGGTAAGGCCCACTGAGCCAAGTAGCTCTTTTTTCAGAAGCGACCTGGCCCTCACAACTGACAGCGCAGCCAAGTGGCTCGTCACGAGGACATTTATAGCAGCAGCCATGAACCGTCGCGGCCTCGACTCGCCACCCACAACCCCTCTTGCGCAACAATACACCTCTCCAAGCAAGAACTCTCCACTCTCCATATTGCTGAGGTTTTTATTCCCCATATATATACTTTCTAACCGAGGGTGACAGCCTTCATGCATGAGCCCTGTCCGTCCGTCTCTCCATAGCAGAGCTGCCTCCAAAACTCTTGTGAAGATGAGCCAAGAATCAGAATGCACCTGCAGTGCAAAGTCGCGCTCCGATGCGGGACGTACCCCCTCTTAAAACAGTCGGCCGCGCCGATCAAAGGCTTGGTAGCCAAATCCCAGGGACAGGAAAGCAGAGCAAAAGAAAATGCAAATGCACGTTCACTCTTGACGGCTACCCGTCGGCATCCGTGCCACTAATTAAACACTCTCCAGGACGAGCGCACGTTGGAAAGCAATTACACGTGCAATCGACGCGTAGGCATGATTTCATTACCGGGGTTGTTTAACCGTGGGCAGGGGGGGAAATGCCTGGAAGTAGCAGGGGTTTGTAGGCTGTACCCGAAATGTGAATGTTGCTGTGGGTTTACTCTTCAACACACCGGTGTGCTCAAGTTCTAACTAATTGGCACGTTTTGTTTACGTCACAAACCTTAATAATTGGCTGCGTCGGGTGGTGGCGGGTGTAACGACACATTCACATGTACGGGACCTGAACCAAACAACCTTTATTACTGTTTGTGGGCTGGGGCTATGAGGCGGCGAGGAGGTAGTGTACAGCACTGGATTCAAGAGTCCATATGAGCAGTGCTATGAGTGTCATTCACCCCCTGATGGCCTAGATCCTGCACGGTGCCATACAAACGCAATGGCTGTTCCACACCAATGCCCTTGCATGCACGGATTTTTCTCCAGGTGCTCTGGCTTTTTTTTTTCCCCAGACTGCCGGATAATTATTAATGGAATTGGCCAAACATCCCATTGCACCCCCCCCCACCCGCCCCCCCCCCCCCCCCCCCCCCAGTGAAATGTTCCTGGGTAAATATAAAGGGACCAATCAGTGTTACGACCACCGTTCCAATTATTTCCTGCTGCAATGGAAGGATTTTGTCCACGATTTGAATGAGCTGGCGCAGGAGGCTGAATTCAGAACTCGGCGTTGACAATGGTGAAGCAAGGGCCGAGCGATGAATAAGGTCCTGTGGGAGATGTTGGCCGTGAACCAGCGATGGATACTAAACGGGCCCTGCGGGGTTAATAAAACTTTGCACAAACAACAACAATGCAGATAAAAAAAACTGTAATCGTCCGATATCACTGCTTACACCTGCACAGGGCTAATTAAGACGCATGTGCCTGTCATAAAAACAAAAGTGGGCCGTACCACTTCTACAGGAAGGATGGGGGGGGGGGGAGATCAGTTTCATTTAACTTGCTGGCCCGCCGCCCATGCTGGACATCCGTGAAAAAGCGCTTCATAGCTCATTGGATTCCTCCACCTGCAGTCTGAATAAAGATTCTCATTCCGATTAAAATATCCAGCCGGAGCCGCCGTGTAGCTTTGGTCTCTCCTGTGCTTCATTAGATTTTACCATACACCGCTTTTCCCATACACAGTTTTCCACTGGAACATCAGGGCCATGCTGATGGCCCTGATGTTCCAGTGCTGGGTGGGGGGGAAGCAGGGCAAGGGACAGGGTTAGTCATTTTCGTCCTGCCTTCACGTCAGTCTGTATCCTTGACCGCGTGACCCGGGCCGTCGAAACGTTTGTTGTGCGCTCGACACATCAGCGCCAAGGCTCTGGTCCTGCGGTGGAAAACGCACCGGGCGCCTCCTGCGCCGTGTCAGGCTGGGACGGGGGAACGGTCCCGCTGCAGCTCGGTTCTAGAGTGTCAGAGAGGCGACGGTATCGTTCCCTTGATTCGCAAGCACGGGCGCCCGTCACCTTACCTCCACAAACGAGATCGGGAAGATTCCAATTTTGTCTCCGAGCATCCCCTCGGCCCAGTTCTCATCCACGCGCCGGATGACCGTGAGCACCTCATCCTGGCAGATCACAACACGCGGGAAGAGAAAATGTATTCCGGGCAGCATTGGGATCGCCTCTTGCATATTAATGACACGGCCCATGCCAGGTACAACACACTGCCGAGCAGAATAGACTTCTGGATCGGATTCTGAGCGACGACTGTCAGAATGCCAGAATAGTGGCTTACAACACGATAACCAACAAAGATGTCACAATTTTGTAGATTACGCGGGGCGATCCATTGATCCATAACCCGCTGATTTCTAATGACCCACCCTCTTATTTTCTGCTCAACAGAAAGCAATGACTCCATATCTTACAGAGGAGTGTTTAAATATTTCACCCATCCATTGAGATTGGTGGGTGACGTGTAGAGGCTTTAAAATGAAACGTATTTTTTTGTATTATAATTTCTCCCTATTCTATAAAAGGATCACCACCCTTTAGATTTGATCAGAAACTTGGGCTAATAACTCCCTTCCATCTCTCAGCACACTCAGCATTACATTTAAGTACACACGCTCCCATTGTCTGCATGCCCAATGAAACCATTGCATAGGCCTGCACACAAAAACAAACATTGTGTATTTATACATACACAGGAGTACAATTAATCAATTAGCCCTTGCCCGCATGTCAAGAAGATTGGCGAGGAGGCGAGGAAAACTGATGTGGCCAAAAACACACACAGAATCGTTTGCTGCTAGTTTTGCCAATAACAAGCGGAGGTAGTCTGGCCAGGTTGTGCAGAGGGCTGGTTTTATTACTTACGCCTGGAAGCCTGAGCTAGCTCCATTATAAAGCCGCACGGGGCTTTGTCAAAAGCAATGATATGAAGGGGATACCTTGAAACAGCCTTTTGGGTATTTATAAGAGGCTTTTGAAGTGAATGAATCCAACGGAGGATTAATGGGTTGAAACGGTCGGCAGGGTGGCGCACGTGGCAACGCTTGTGTGCCTCACAGGAAGGAGAAACCGGGTTCGAGTCCTGACTTTGGGTGACCCTGCGTGACGTTTGTTTTTACGTCCCTGCCCCCCCCCCCACTCCCCCCGCTCTGCACGGGTTTCCTCCAGGCTCTCTGGTTTCCTCCCGTGGGGGGGGGGGGGGCAGGTGACGTCATCGGTGTCGACCAAACATCGCAACGTAGCAGCAGTCTCCTGGAAAAATATTCTTCTGGCCGTGCGACTTTCATGCGTAGATGAATAATAATTTTTCTATAAAACGTCCTCCGTTTAGCCACACGCTGGACGTGTGGCTAAACACATTCATTCAGGGTGAAGCGAGAACTGGGGGGGGGGGGTTAGGTGGTGCAAATGTGATTTGTAATACATTACACTGTACAATCTCGATCATAGCGAGGTTGGTGACCTCCTGCAATTACGGCGGCGAGAGGGCGGGGGAGGAGGGGCAGAGCGCGTGAAGAATTAATGTTTGCTGCGCTCATCTGCGAGGTGGAGGGACAGAGTGGGTGAGACAGCTGGCCGATGGTAGAGCGTTCATCAGTCGGGGAGGCAGGGAGGGAGCGGGGGGGGGAAGTGCTCTCGTGGGTGACCATTGAAGCGTGCCGACCGGTCAATGGGGTCATCGTGGAAAGGGTGCGACTGGCGCAGAGAGGAGCGGCGTCGTCCATGTCGCGGAGTGGTCCATCGCTTACGGAAGAAGATGTCGTTCTCTTCCCAAGGGTCTACGCGCGGCATTGGCGGACCGTGTAGAAATTTTGTACGAACCAAAAAAAATGATAATAGGCACGTCCATAATTTCGAAAATAAAACGACAACAAACTTTGTGCAACGCCGTGATGGCCCTGAAACGAATTTATGAGACGCGTGTGGAAGAAAAACCAACAAGCAAACAAATAAACGCAAATATTTTCCTGCCTTTCATTGTACACCGGGTCTTGAAAGTAACGATTTTGCTTAATTGTATTCATTTGGAACTGCAATGCACAGTCCCCGTATTTGGAATACTAATCCCGATTCTCCGCTCCGCAGCATACGAACAGGACCTGCACACAAAGGGGCGAGGACCGACACGATGCAGGCAGACGGGACACGGGTTTGATGTTTGCATGCCGGCCGCTATCTTGCTGTTAATAATTCAAGAGGCAGAGTGCTGCAAGGTGAGCCGATGAGATCACCTTTCTCGAGCATCCAACAGGAAGAGAGCGGGCGGTGACTTCACCATCGCCATCGGCCTTCACGACGCTAACGATCTAATCTTTATTGCCGGTCCCCATGCAGACCTCCAGCCTCGCTTTCCCTTCATGACGTGGCCAAAGCCATACGCAATGCGAGATAATCGTTTACGAGCTAGCTACACCTGAGCTGACGTCACACCACCGCTGAAAACAAGCTAATCACCGACAATAAAACGCTATTCGATACGACCTGCAGCTTGCCAACCTTGGCGGTCCCCCTAAATCAGTGTTACGCAAACTTAAACCGCAAAGTGATTCGCTTCATTCCACACGCCACCTCTTCAAAGAGCGGTGAATGAGAAACCTTTTCCCGAAAACAGAGCCGTGCGTTGCAGAAAGCTATAAAAATGTATTAATAGTGGGGCGTAATCAAGGCATGCCGATCTATAAAGGAAACGCACGTGAGACTGGCAGACAATGCAGCGCGCCCAACTTAGCAATGGGACACCAGGCATTCCGTAGAGCCCACTGACAACACGCACAACACACAAGGCTGCACACAAAGAACATCGGGGGGAGACAAAGGGGGGCCCCCCTTTTTAATAAAAAAGGCAAGCCGTGCGTCAGCAGTGTAATTACTGTGAAACCGGCATGGCCATACAAAGTGCTCCGGGTCTCGGGTTATCATCAGCTGGAGCCAGGAATCCTTTCGGCCGGCCGTTTGAAATCTGTACGCCCCCATTGTGTTTGGTAGGAAATGCCTCCCACCTGTCAAAGTGGAGCAAATGAAGATTAACCCCCGTGGTTAGCCGAGTTTGCCCTGGTGTAATGGTTAGCGCACCTGACTTGAAATTCAGAGGACGCCGTCCCGAACCCATCATCTTGTACGCACGCTCAACTTATGTTTGCGCGCACTTAATCCGGCCCTATCGGCGGGGTCGCTTGCGGCGGGGTAAAAACGTGGCCAGGTCGACGACATCCAAACACGTCTGGTCCACGTGGCCGAGTGGACAGAGCTCACACCCTCTCGAGTTCGCCGTCGCAGGCGTCCTTGTCGGGAGAAAGTGGCGCGAGAATGAGACGTGGCGAGAGGCTGCACGTTACGGACCGATCGTCCGAGCTGTGCCGCAAATGCTACCCTCTTACGACTCCATAACGCAACAGCCTCGCGACTGAACACTCCTTTCTTTAGAACTGCTTGTTGTGTTTGGTTTATTGTCCTTTCCTCCCGCACCCTCCGATTAGCGAGGCTGGCTGCGTACCGCGCGACAGAAGTTCAACGTACGTACATGCAACGAGTGAGCCTTGGGGGGCTTTGGAGCTTAAGCACCTAACACCCTCAATCAACTCACAATTATAAAACCATTTGTATGCTTGAACGGTATATTATACAGGCAAATGGTGTCTGAACCTTAGCCCGTGGGTAGACTTTCACATAGCGTGAATAACTGGTGGAGTTTGTCAATCTAAGCACTGGGGAAAGAAATGCCGTCTGACTACCGTGGCGCCAGGCACACAATCCCCTAATTAGAGCTGAATAGGAGCGTGCTAACTGCACGGCACTGCACCATTCCAACAACGGGCTTTATATGGTATAATATTTGCAAGGAAGGAGTCTTGGCACAGCAGTTAGCAGCGCAATGCCCTATAAACCCAGAGACACGAGTTAATCATAATATAGGTTTTTGGGTTAGATCGCGTTATTTATGAATAATATTGGTCGCGAAAGCCTACGTGTTAAACTGAGACACGAGTTAAATTCCTGTGTGGATAAGTGTGGACATTAGAACTGTACATTAAATCCATATTATTATCATTATATACATATAAGAGCGACAATTGCTCGCCCTACAGTGATCGTTTAAATGTTTGGCAACCGAAAGTAAAAACAAATATTTAAAAAAAACGCGAGACAAAGAAGAATGAAAGCTTCACGTGTGTGATCTGGAATACACACATGGACTTGATGTGTGTGTGTTGCTTGGCTGGCGTTCTGATTGAGTAAGGCTCCGTCAAACAACCAGACACACGAGTCTTTGTTTTCCTCTCCGCGAATACATTTCTTTCCGCGCTTTTATTACGACCGTGATTTTTGACCAGATCAATAAAAACGCAGAAGGCGAGCGGGCGAGCGAGCGTCCGGTGCGAGATGCACGCATTCTGCTGTGCAAAGAGCCCCCGCCATCCCCCACGCCCGTGAAAACTCAAGAAAATAAAAACGACGCAGGTGGAAAAGCAAAGCGAATAATAACAGCACTATCAAAAAAACCAACCACAACAACGACAGTGGCCAAACAACACCGTCCAATAACAAAGAGCACCCGAGAATAAATAACGCCTTACAATGTTGTATTCGTACGCACGCAGGCGTGCATTCCCAATGCAAACACGAGGGCTCACGCAACCATTCATCTCGCCGTTACGTTCCCTTGCTTGTGTGGGCGATGCCAAGCGCCTGCCAAGCACCGTGGGGGCCTGGAGGTAAAATTCAGCGCGACGCCCCGGAAGGGGAAAACGGCCGCCCCCCCCCACCGCCGCAGTGGGGAGATGTTAACTACCTCGCCTGGTATGCAGGTGGTCGCGGGTTCGAGCCCGATCCCGACGCCCCGTGTATTTGGAGTTTGCGTGTTTTTCCCCCGTGGTCGCGTGGAATTTTCCCCCCGGGGGTCCTCCGGTTTTTCCCCCCTCCACATTTAGAATCAACGTCATGCGTTCAGGGCATTTGGCCGCTCGAATTTTCCACGTGACGATGAGCCACTTATTGCCGAGCTATCACTCGTGCAGCCAGGTCACACTTCTGAAAAAGCTTAAAGACGTTTTTTTTTACTTCCTTTCTAAGAAGCGCGGGTAATGTTTACGTTGCTGGCGCACCGTGCGAGCGAGTCCCCCGTTCCCAAGCATACCAGCCCTAAGTGCGTCCGCCTCCGAGGCCTCCGTCGTGCGTGAGAGTGTCCCCCGCGCGCTGCGCCGTGTTTGCACAGCAGCGGCGGCGTCGCGCAACGACGCAAAGCAAGAGAGCACACACACACACAAGCACCCCCCCAACGTCCATTACCTGCACGGTGCCAACACCACCCCCCGACATCCCTGCCACCACCCCCTCCCCCGCGTGGCGCTGGCATCTGGGTTTCGGGTGACATTTGCTACCTGCCCCGTCAGTCGAGGTGAAAGCGTTCGTCCCTTTTTGTGTTTTGTGTATAGACCAAAAAGGACCGCCCCCCTCCCCCGAAGAAAATAAACGGCAAGGGTTGAACGGCTAAATTCGGCCATGCTTGACGGGCCACCAAAAGGCACCGCCCAGAGGCGGCGCGCGTTGAGCCTTGCTAGCGAGAATCACCTGTTAGGTTCTATTGGGTAAAGCCACGTAGGTGAAAATAAAATAACAAAAAATCACGACGTTTCGGCCACAACACAAGCGGCCACAACACAAGCGGCCGCTTGTGTTGTGGCCGAAACGTCGTGATTTTTTGTTATTTTAATTTCACCTACGTGACTTTACCCAATAGAACCAAAGAATATGGATCCTAGCAGTCACGGAAGCTTTAAATCTAGAATCACCTGTTAACCATGCGCCCAAATGATTCGCAGAGGCGGCGTTAAACCTATCGGAGAGAACGAGAACCAGAGGAGAATGAAAAGAAAAAGAGGAACAACACAAAAGACGCGGGAAAATGAGTCGAAAATAAAATCGTTGCTTGAATCGAACAGAGACGTCGAATCTTAACGGTCCATCAAATCGTTGGGAGGGTGAATTGTTACGTGCGCCCACCTTTTAAGTACTCGTGTGAAAATGAATTTTTGTTCCATGTCATCGCCACTCCGGCAAGTTTAGGATATATATACACACACACACACGTTGTTTAATGGCAAGATCAAGAGATTATCGCGGTAAGAGCGGCTGTCGTGGCCCACACCTCCACCAGACTCTGCAGCTGCTGCGCGGTCGACACGCGACCAACCCGCGACCAACCCGATGCTCGTGCGAATTCCCCACATGTACGCCGTGCACGCTGCGATGGACGTGGAGATGGCCGCAGCTCGGCGGACTAGCCTGTCCAAGGCCCTGTCCATTACACCGGGTGGGCATTAAAGCTTTAGCTGTGGCTGCAACTCAGTCTCTGCAGCTCGCTCCGAGGTGCAGAGAAAACAGCGAGGCTCATGGGAAGTGGCTGGGGGGGGGGCACGGTGGCAGTGCCTGCACCAAGAACTCTCTCTGTATTACATTCAGTGACTTGAACAGGAATTGTAAATTGTTAAGATTGCAACAACTTCTTTCAAACCGTACATAGCCAACTGTTCCATTCAGGTGTGTGTGAAGGACAAACTAAATTACAAAAAGCAGTTCTAAAGAAGTGAGTTTTCCATCTAGATTTTAAAATGCATAGCTCCAGTGACTTCCTAATATCGGAATGAAGGAGGTTCCAGACGGCCAGCCAAAAGCCGCTGCTACTGCGAAGATGACCGGAGTTCACTCAACAGTTTATGCTCATTGAAGAGACCAGCGAGGTATCGCAGTTCAAGAAAGCGGCCGGTGGGCGTCGGAACGGACGCTGATAAATCTGCAGCTGCTGCCGCGGTCGGAGCGCGTCCCTCCCGATAATAATGTTCAAACGTAATAATTAAAGGACAAGAAATAGCGCAGTAAAAATGTTTCATGTAATGCGGGTGGGGCAGCTCGTCGAGAGAGACTCCCCCACCCCCCCCCTGTTTGGAGGCAATACCTGCAGCTCGAGCCACTAGACGCGACGCGTTGACCCACTTAGCTCCTCTGATAAATCGCTGCAATATTTGGCGAGTGTTCAAAATGATAAGTGTGCGCGTGTGTGCGCGTGTGTGTGCACGTGTGTGCGCGCGCGCGTGCCAGAGTACGCCATTGGTCCTGTTAGTACATTAATAAATGCATAGATCGCTAAATCATTCCCCTGCCACCATGAGCTTAATAAATAAATGTAAATAATAACACGTTCCCATCATTTGTTTGCTCTGGCTAGGGCTGCAAATTTACGATTATGTCCCAGACTGCCGCTTTGTGTTTTTTTTCCATTCGCCACGTCCATGTATTACGCGATTGAAAGGGTCAAGACCGTATGCGGCCGTTAATGTTCATAATCTCTGAATATAAAATCCGCCCCAAGGAGTAATTGTGTGTCATCCTTCACCGTGACGTGCAAGTTTGACTTTCAAAGCGTCAACTGGCAATGTAACGCAACAGGAGAAGAAAAATAATCCACAACGAACATTTTGGAAGGAGAAAAGATAAGGAGAACGTTTCAAAGAGGGATGCCACCGCTGTGGTGGAATAATTCGCACACTGGACTTGCAATCCAGAGGTTGCCGGTTCATCCTGCCAGCGCGGCAGTTGAAACGATGGGGCTTCACTTTGAACATTCATCCCCGATTCTGTCCAGCCAGCAGCATGAATGCGTACCACACAGTTTGTCAGTGGGCGGAGTCTCCATCCAGTGGGGGTGAAGTATGTGTACGCCCACTGGCTTCCAAGGCCAAAATGCCCTCGAGAGAGGGGGACTACTCCCCCAGAGCTCCCTCTCGGGGAGCACCTTCCGCCAGCGAGCGAGCGAGCGAACGAGCGCAAGGCTGCACCTTTACCACAGGGGGCCGGCGACGCACACGTTTCACTTGAAACGAAGCGAGCCGCGCGAGCGCCGCTGTCACCGGAACGCGTCAACCGCAATGCGTCAACCGCTGACAGTGACGCACGCGAAGAGCGATCGAATCATTTGGCAAGCACAAAGCGGTCACCTTCGGAAATCAGGGAAGAGGGCAACGGGCGGCACGCGCAACTTGCCCAGGGGCAGCACGAAGCCAGGCCGTAAATCCCAACGGGCGGCGCGCCTTCAAGGTTATCCCACACCTTCCCCCAGCCTCCACCCCCCCGAAATAAAAACCGTGATAATAATAAATTGCAAAGAGCAGCCGCACACTTTCCGTGTCCTCGCCGCCGCGAATGAAAGTTGCTGCCTCATCGTCTGCCCGCTCCCCCCGCCCTCTCCGCGTGCGTGCGTGCGTAGTCGCGCCACCGTCGTTACCTTGCTGAAGGTGAGGCAGTCCTTGTCCTGCTCCCCGCCCGACACCGCAAAGTCGTACAGCGCCCGGCACTGCGGGGGAGGGGCCGGACGAGCCTGGGGCTGGGCGGCCCCCACCGTGGGTGTCCCCGGTGGTGCCGGCGTCGCCGCGGGCTGGAGCAGCAGCGGTACGGCCGGCGTTGGCAGCGGCCTCAACACCTGAGTGCACGACGACGGAGACAAAGAACCAAAAGCTATGGTTTATTGGGGAAAGTGCAATTAGCGAGCACCTTCGACAGCCGGCACAGCACACGAGCGGGGGGGGGGGGGGGGGGGTCGGTGGCCAGTACCATGCTCGATCACCTTCGTCTCTCCAGTGGCGATGTTGACACACTGCACCGGGTACTCATTTGAGGCCGAGTCGACCTCGGGGAGGGCCCAGGACCGGTTCAGGTAATCCTCACCTGAACCGTGAGCGAGAATCTCGAGTCGCCGGGTCCGTAGCAAAGCGCACTAACCGCTACACCACCGCTCACACACACACACACGCACGATCACGGACACACTCCGCCTTCCCAACCTCGACTGACCACCAGTGTGGCAAAGCGTGGACCCACACGGCCTGGGGGGAGACCTTCAGCCAAAAGAGCTGTAAAATAACTACACCATTATTGCCTCGTATATTTCGCGGAATTGTATTTCGAGGCAAAAATCGTCGCCGATCTTGTTGCTTGAGCGAAGCACGTGGATTCATCCCTCCACCCTCACAAGTCGCCTATTACTGGCGAAACTAATTGAGCACCCCCCCCCCCCATTCTATCCGGAGCGATTCAATAAATTTGTCGCGAGTTACGGTCGCAATTACAGATTTCGTTGCGTTTTTTTTTATTCATGCTTCTTTACTTTGTGGCGAGCATGGCGGCGGTGGCGGCAGCGAAAAGCTGCCACACCATGGTCACGCGAAGAGACCGTGTGATCTACAACTCGCGGGGACTGAGAAACGTCCATTCCCCCACGTGGAAAAAAACACAGCGCACGCACGCACGCATCGCGAGCTTTCGGATCGATATCAAATCAGCCAATCAGTGCGCCCTTCTCCCTCACGTTGTTTATAGTTACGTCCCCCCATCACACCGACTCCGACAGGGACAGCCGACGACATCAGACGGTGTTGCTCGCGAAAAAAAAAGCAGGAGGTCGCAGAACGTGCGGGGGGGGGGATCATCACGACCGCGCCCACGTGCCCACACCCCACGCGCGAAGCTTTCCGCCAAGAATGGGGGGGGGGGGGGGGGGTCAAAGGTGAAACGAAGGCCGTATTTTTTTCGCAACAAAAGGGAAGGTTGTCTCGATAGCTCGACAACGACACGCACCGTCCAAGGTTCACGTCTTTTTTTTTTGTTGTTACACGCACACACACGCGCGGGAAACGTGTCCCGATGGCGTCACGCACGGCGCCCTCCGTGACCGAGGCACTTTCCCCGCCAACCCGCCACCCGCCCACCCGCCCTCCCGCCCTCCCCCCGGCAAACACGATGAAGTGCTTTCTCCTTTACGCCGCCCGACGTCGAGTGCTTCTCAACAGGAGAGCGGTCGGCCTCCTCTTTTCACTCACTCGAGGTGAATCCCTGTCATTCCTCGGCCGGGCGGCAAAAGGGGGCGGGGCCGTGGTGTTTGCCAAATTGCAACGACGTCGAAAGAACGGACAGGTGGAGTGGGGGGGGAGGGGGCAAGCACGGGAAGTCTTTTTTATCCCCCAATGCGTGCACAAGCAGTCAAAACAAAGAGGGAAAAGAACAGGGCAAGAGCGGCTCGGGACGTTTCTCCCGTTACCCCGAGTGGCTTCGATAAGTTTCAGCCTGGCTGTTGGAGGCTTGGTCGTTCACACCGAATCGTTAGGAATTCCAAGCTCGGCCTCTTTGCGCCCTCGGTCATCTTTTACAGCGACGACGCACATTTCTGAAATAGATATATATATAAACTGATTGTGAAGGTACAGTGTTCCCTCGTTATTCGTGGGGGATTCATTCCGGAAATGCTCGCGAAAAGCAAATTTCGCGGATAATGACATTGGGCCTACGAAAATCCATCCTTTCAATAAATGACCTTAAATACATGGACATTTTCTCATCACTTTATTGCATCACACTCTCTCTCTCATGGCTCTATCGCATCACTTTCTTAATCTCTCTCCCTCGATGCAGTCGTGCAGAGTTCCAGATACGATTCTCGGATCAGCCAAAATGACAGCAAGCTCGTGAATAATGAGCTGCACACGTTTTCTTAAACCGATAATCATTATTATTCATACCGTTCTTATAATTATTTTGATGCGCGTGTTCGTCTCTCGCTGAATCTCTTCTCCTGGAGTGAGCGAAGCTGTCGCGTGACAACTTTTCCCCATTTTTATCGAACAGCGTGTGACACGTGGATTTTCATACCGAGCACAAGCGCTACGATATAAATCCGTGTCACAACTCGAGGGCACAAACATTCCTGTGCGATACAAATCCTACACGCGTAGATTATCGGAGGACAAAGGATATCAGGATGAAATATATATGATCCGTGACCAAAAAAAGGAGATCAGGATACGGTGAGGTATATACGATCTCTGGCTGACTATACGAGTAACCCCTAATGGGAAAAACTTACGAAAGAGGTTTTGGCTTTTCGCTTCCAATAATATTGAACATTCCAAGAATTGCTGCAGTCAAGACGTTCGTGCCAGACAGTCAACAATTCATCCGCCAACTTTTAAATGCCAAACAGTTTAAAATCACAGAGACGAGTGTGGGAAATTGCAAAAACACGCTCATTATTTTATTTAACGGTAGAGTTACCACGAATGTGAACGCACTTATTCTCTGACAAAGCATAAGCGCATAAAGAATGAACCGTAAACGAATCCTAACCAACGTTAGCCTAAAATTTGTGCCTGCCACTCATATATAATTTATATACAAGTGCGTGCGTCTCTGTTACAAATTAATGATTTCCCATTTTGCACTCAACCAGAATCAACAGGGTCACGGCACCATTAAGGCTAACGCACACGATCCTCCTCGCTGCATACCAACCAACACCCAAGCCTCCAGTTCGCCGATACCGCGGGTTAACTAGGTACATCGGAATGTTCCACTACATTGTGGGGGTTGGTGGTGCGTGCGTCCCACTGTGTGTGTGTCCGGGATGCAGCTACGGGAGTGGAAGTGTAGCAGTTAGCGCACTGCGCTACGAACCCGGCAACCAGAATTCGATTCCCGCTCGTGGTCATCACCAGTGATGATTATCTAAACCGGTCCTGGGCCTCCGCTTGGTCGACTCGGCCTCAAATGAGTACCTGCTGCGGTGTGTAAACATCGCCACTGGGGAGACAAAGGCGGCCGGGCGTGGTGATGACCACCCACCCCCTCGTGTGCCGTGCTGGCCTTCATAAGTACTCGCTAACAGCACTTGCCCCAAAAGTCTGTTAAAGCTATACGGGGGATCTTTGTCTTTGTCTTTTTGTCTGGGCTACGGTTAGTAAGTTCTGAGTCGGCTGGGTGGCTCAGTGGCCCCAGGGCGCTGAGCTGGGACTGCCGAGGTTCCGGGATAGAATCCAGGCTTCACCTGTCACTGATTAAACAAGGCTATGTCAGGTGCAGTGAGCCGATAAGCTCGGAACGCTCATCGATGAATGCACAGATTTCATTTAACGTGGCTAAATTCGAGCCGTGATATATTTCTTCATAAAATAAGTTCCACTCCTGTGCAATAACACATTTCTCTGCAGCAGGCCGTGTGGGAGAGGGCACTTGTTAGTGCATTAAAAAGGTCACTCGAAGGGATCTTGAAATTGCGGACAAGGTGATTGCACCTGCCGTGGGGCAAGTTCAGATACGGTTTAAGGTAGGCCATTGCTATTGGTACAATCCAACAAGCAGTCGCAACATGTATGTACAGCGAGGGAAAAAAGTATTTGATCCCCTGCTGATTTTGTACGTTTGCCCACTGACAAAGAAATGATCAGTCTATAATTTTAATGGTAGGTTTATTTGAACAGTGAGAGACAAAATAACAAGAAAATCCAGAAAAACGCATGTCAAAAATGTTATAACTTGATTTCCATTTTAATGAGGGAAATAAGTATTTGACCCCCTCTGCAAAAGATGACTTAGTACTTGGTCGCAAAACCCTTGTTGGCAATCACAGGGGTCAGACGTTTCTTGTAGTTGGCCACCAGGTGTGCACACATCTCTGGAGGGAACGAGCTGAGATTAGGAGCACACTCTTAAAGGGAGTGCTCCTAATCTCAGCTTGTTACCTGTATAAAAGACACCTGTCCACAGAAGCAATCAATCAATCAGATTCCAAACTCTCCACATTGGCCAAGACGAAAGAGCTCTCCAAGGATGTCAGGGACAAGATTGTAGACCTACACAAGGCTGGAATGGGCTACAAGACCATTGCCAAGCAGCTTGGTGAGAAGGTGACAACAGTTGGTGCGATTATTCGCAAATGGAAGAAACACAAAAGAACTGTCAATCTCCCTCGGCCTGGGGCTCCATGCAAAATCTCACCTCGTGGAGTTGCAATTATCATGAGAACGGTGAGGAATCAGCTCAGAACTACACGGGAGGATCTTGTCATGATCTCAAGGCAGCTGGGACCATAGTCACCAAGAAAACAATTGGTAACACACTACGCCGTGAAGGACTGAAATCCTGCAGCGCCCGCAAGGTGCCCCTGCTCAAGAAAGCACATATACATGCCCGTCTGAAGTTTGCCAATGAACATCTGAATGATTCAGAGGACAACTGGGTGAAAGTGATGTGGTCAGATGAAACCAAAATGGAGCTCTTTGGCATCAACTCAACTCGCCGTGTTTGGAGGAGGAGGAATGTTGCCTATGACCCCAAGAACACCATCCCCACCGTCAAACATGGAGGTGGAAACATTATGCTTTGGGGGTGTTTTTCTGCTAAGGGGACAGGACAACTTCACCGCATCAAATGGACGATGGACGGGGCCAAGTACCGTCAAATCTTGGGTGAGTAGCTCCTTCCCTCAGCCAGGGCATTGAAAATGGGTCGTGGATGGGTATTCCAGCATGACAATGACCCAAAACACACGGCCAAGCAACAAAGGAGTGGCTCAAGAAAAAGCACATTAAGGTCCTGGAGTGGCTTAGCCAGTCTCCAGACCTTAATCCCATAGAAAATCTGTGGAGGGAGCTAAAGGTTCGAGTTGCCAAACGTCAGCCTTAATGACTTGGAGAATATCTGCAGAGGAGTGGGACAAAATCCCTCCCGAGATGTGTGCAAACCTGGTGGCCAACTACAAGAAACGTCTGACCTCTGTGATTGCCAACAAGGGTTTTGCCACTAAGTGCTAAGTCATGTTTTGCAGAGGGGTCAAATACTTATTTCCCTCATTAAAATTCAAATCAATTTATAACATTTTTGACATGCGTCTTTCTGGATTTTGTTGTTGTTATTCTGTCTCTCACTGTTCAAATAAACCTACCATTAAAATTATAGACTGATCATTTCTTTGTCAGTGGGCAAACGTACAAAATCAGCAGGGGATCAAATACTTTTTTCCCTCACTGTATGCATGTAGATCTTCTTTCTTGCCAAGTGCTCATCGGAGGTGCGGGGGGGCAAGGACAACACACCAAAACACAAAAAGCAGTTATGAAGAAATGTCTTGGTCAATCTCGATGATAATGATGATGATTTAAAAGTGCATGGCTCCAGTTGCTTCCTCATATCGGAAGGACAAGTGTTCCCCCCGACGGCCGCAGAAGCGCGTCCGAAAGCATCGCGCGATGCGGTGACCCGTCCTCGTTAGACGGCGAGCCCAAAAGCCGGCCGCGAGGATTCAACGCATCGGGGGAGTTCATTCAACGCGTTCGGAGAGGGTCGCGGACGGCATCGCCCGCACGCGAAAAACCTCCACCCACCTGCACGTAGCTGGCGGGGAAGAAACCCTGGGCGCCGGCGCTCGTCTCCCCGTGGTACCAGCTGTCGTCGATGCGCCGCCGAAGGAACACCAGGTCCCCCTTGCTGAAGGGCAGGTCGCCCGGCTCCTTGCCCTCGTAGGTGTAGAGCGCCCGGGCGCACGGCACCACGGGCAGGGACTGCTGCACGCCGGAAAAGGCACGCGGGCGAGGGGTCACGCGCAGGAGGAGAAGGGTTAGCACGGTTGGCCGCGTACGGTTTCGAAAGACGTTCAACGTACGCACATATACAGCAGGAGGCTCTGTCACAGGTAATCAACTGCACACCGGGTTACGTTGAAAATCCACGACGCGTAAAGGAACAAAGTCTAACCTCCCGTCCAGCGGCACGTGTATGTGTGTGAACAGAAGTGAGGTTTTTTTTTTCATTCCCCCCCCCCACCACCCCCCCCCCCCCCAGTTCTTTCCGCAACATGCGATTAATCGAGCGATTTCGTCGAAAAGCGAGGGCGGTGGGGGAGCTTTACAGAAGGTAGTGTTTCAAACGTAGCGGCCTCGAGCAGATCCAGAGTTTAAGCGACCCAATTGGATGCAACATACGTGACAACGGATTTTTTTTTACACCAGATGGCTGCTTTAGAATGCATCACGAGGATTCTGAGACGTGCAATAAATGCAGGCACCGGGCTTCCCAGGCCGCCAGTTAGAGGTCGTCAATACGGCACTGTTCTTACTTCTCATGAACACGTGAAACCCTGGCCAAGCTTGCTCATTCTTTACGACCGTTCAACGCACGGAGATTAATTAAAGCGCCCAAGCCTCCTGGCGTGGCCGCTACGACCGCTTGGCCCAACAACCCGCCGGCGTGGTTGAGGGACAAGGCGGGTTGTGGTTGGAGAGCGGCCGCGGCGTTTTTGTTTTTTCCCTACAACGTTCACCGTCGTCTCAAACGGCCACGCAAACAACGGTGGCGGCGAGACCGCAAGAGCGCGGCGTCCGTGTGGAAGCATCACGTGACGTGGTTGCGGTCACCGATAATTCGCACGTGCATCATCGTCAGCATTATCCAACCCCACCCTGACGTTGAGGGTTTCCCAAAAACAATAAAGGCGACCGCCCGCGCAAATAATTGCGCGATGCGGGGCTGACGTCAGAGAGGACATTGGATAGGCCTTACATATTTATATATATTTAAAAAAAACAACATCGAAAACCGTGGGTGTCCCCCGCAGGAATGTGTGAATGAGGGAGTGTGCTGTGGAAGGTGAGTTGGCGCTGGGCGCGACTCAATCTGACGGCGCGTTCACTCGCCTCCGTTGCGGGCGCGCACTCTCTAAAGCCGAGCAGCGCTCGCTTTCGCAACACTCAACAGGCCCGGCAGGGATCCGCAACGACAACGCTTTGGTTTGACTGCGGGTCCGCCGAACAGAAACCGCGAAACCCAATTAAGTTACTAAATACCGTTGCTTAACTCGGGCCATTGCAGGGCGGGCGACAGAATTCGCGTCCGCCTCTGACGAATGCGTTGGGTTTCACCCGCGCCCACGCAAACATCAAGTGGTCCCATTCAGAAATGGTTTGTTTTCTCCTATGTAGTCATTTTCATGTCGTGAACAGCTACGACAGCTACCAAAGTAGGCGGAGTCGAGTGGAAAGAGCGAGAGAGAAGCAACTTCCCTGGGCCGACACGAAGCGTGAGAAGGACCTTCCTCCAGCAGTGTACAAACTCTGCTGGGGGCCACGGTGCCTAGGAGGTGTTAACTACCTCGCCCGGTATGCAGGAGGTCCTTTTGGTTCGATCCCGACCCTGGCGCCTGTTGTATATTTGGACTTTGCGTGTCTCGCTCTCCATGGTCGTGTGGATTTTTCTCCGGATCCTCCGGTTTTCCCCTCCCACATTTAGAAACGTGCATTTAAGAGCATTTGGCTGTTATAAATTCCCACATGATAAGCCACTGTGTTTAGCTATAATTTGTGGCCAGTCCACTTTTTAAAAAGAGCTCTATAGCTCAATGGGCCTTACCTTGTAAAAGAAAAGAGTTTGGTAATAGTGTAATAGTACAGACAAAGAGAGTCAGTGGTTTCCTGCTGAACCAGTGTAGTAAATGCCACATTCCTATGCTGGAGTGAGAGCCTATCCATAGCAACTGTTGACTTATTCACAAAGTGGTACCTATTTTATAAACCCCAGCAGGATGATGGGCTGAATCAGGCCCTTTCCAAGATTTGAACACATGACCTTACAACTTTGCTGCCAGCATAAGATTGTTAGTAAACATTTTTTTCCTATTATCATGTTTAGTGTCTGATTTGTTTTTTACATTGTGACCTACTCTGCACACATTTGTAAAACCTGTGACTAGACTAATGGAGGGATTGAGTAATTTCACTCCGTGTCCTAGTTGTGTATATGCAGTGGAATATGCATACACACGTTTTCCTTCCACCAGTGTTATGTAAGCACGTGTTACTGACGTCAGAAGTGTGTTTATGCCGCAAAAGTTGTGCTGATATTCCGTTTAATTTACACGTGAAAATTCGATTTTGTAATTTTTAGCAACTCGATTTTAAAATTAATTACGTCCGTCCATTTGAAATGTTTAAATTATCATCTGCTCATGTCAATAGTAAACAAGACTCAAGTGAATGGCGTTGCTGGCATAGGAGAAACATATTTAATAAGCCACGATATTCATAACTGTTGTGTCCAAATTCAACAACGCATGCATGAAGGTAACAAATTGATCAGTTACAACGTGCAGCTTGTCCTTAAATGCCTATAAATTAGTACAGACACGTGATCTGGTCATTAGTGCACATGCTTGGGTTATCATTATGAGCTAAGTGTTACATTATGAGCAACAAGAGTACCATCCTTACTGCTGACACTCACTCTGCCCAAGTGCTTTACAGTCACGCCGTAATGTAACGCTTAGCCGGGGAGGGAAACAACGGGCAAAAGATAAAAAAATCTTTTTTTTTTTAATACCCACCGAGGGTAAAACTTTGACTCCCTGACAGCTCACGATGAAACAACAGATTTTATCCAGGTGCCCAAATGCGGTTTCTGTGGAGTTACTTTTCACCATCAAAATTGCAGATTCCCCCCTTGAGTCAACGTGAGCCAAGTAGAATTTGTCCTCTTGAACGAAGCAAGCTGGCTTCTTCATATCAGTCGCAGAGGTCGGTGCACGTGCAGGGGCGCGTGCGTGCGTGCGTGAGCACGTGCACGTTCGCACAGAGGCAAAGGTCCCCCGCGTGCAGCCGTTTTACAGACCACTGTGGCAATGTATCTGTACATTGAACTTCTTTGGCGCTGTACGTAGCCGACCGTGCTAAAGCGGAGGAGGGCGCGGGTGGGGGGGAGCAACAAACTAAACGCAAAAAAAGTTGCGGTTGACAAACGCCTCTTATTAAAATCGGTGCTCGTACTGATACGAGCACAAAACGCACAGCCCCATGCACGTAAGAACTTTCACACGCGATTCTTTTTTTTAAGCCAAGCCAATCGTTCGTTTTTAAACAAAAAGGCAGTTTCCCCCCCCCCCACCCGCCTGTAGCATGCTGACGGCAAATCCTGTTAGCGAGCACCTACTGGCCCAAACGGTTCACAAAGCGGATGGGTGTGGTGGCCACGTCTGGCCCTACCTGTGGTCTCCCAACAACTCCTCGCTTACACACGGTGCCAGCGAATCACTTGGAGTCTAAGCTGACCATAGTATGACGGCTGTAGGCAAGTTTCAATGCCGCTTGCCACCGATGACTGTAACCCAGGTGTGGCCACGATAATGAAGTGCTTGAATCACTGCCCGATCATCCCGCACGCCCACACGTGCGAACGCACGTACATACCGAAGTGACGCCGAGCAACCCGGGTACACAGAGGAAGGCCTCAGGAGAGTTACAAGCTCACATCTGTTGGTGGAGTCCTGGGCTTGGCAAGCAAAGCCCATTTGAAAAGTCAGTGCTGAGCAAACATGGATGGTATGCGTTTACCCAGCCAGCGAGTCAACAGAGAACCCTTCTGACCTGCCAAGAAAATATGTCTGCCGACTTTACTCCCTCTATGAGTGAACATTTCACTTCCACATAAGGAGCTTCGGCATGCCCATGCCAATACGACGTATACTGTATAACAGACCGTTTGTAGCTTCAGTGCCGGTCTGTGTTATGCACACATCACTTCCAATTATTATGCAAATTTGTTGAGCAAGTAATTTTTTACGACTAAAGCTTTTGCTACGAAACGCATAAAGAAAATGCAGATCCAAGTTAGATAACCTCACGAGAATTTCGGCATTCAGTTCTCAGCCGACGGGGTTCAGGGTTCTGATAAAACCGTGGATTTTTCGGGAATTACGGAGGCAGGAGAAAATCCTCGCGATTTTATGAGCGCGGACGTTTAATGCGCTCGAATCCCGTGCAAATGTAATTTGTATTCGAGTGAAAACAAACGCAAAGCCCCAACCAACCGGCAACATATTTAGAATTGCTCGTCGCTTTCTCAGAAATGTCAGCGGACATTCCCCTGGCGGTTGGGGAGGAACCTCCGCTTCGCAGTCGGGCCGATACCTCCCGCAGAGATTTAGGCCGAGGCTCACGACGCGGCACGCTGCAGCATCACGGCGACTGTAAGGCGGCGACAGAGACGATGCAGCGCCTTCGTGCGGCACCACCCGCAGCGCTCGACGCGAACGGGGACTTGGTGTTGCCAACGCCCAAAAAGCTTGAGAAGTGGGGTGTATTTACGCAATTTATACTATTCTACATACTTATTTCTAAGAGATTTGCTGACCTCTTTTCCTATACTTTGCACCCCTATCGGGTTTTTTTATTGTTTGTTGTTGTTGTAACTATCTAACACCACACCCCCCTCCCTCCCTACTGGACACCGGTGGGAAAAAAAAATAGCTTCATAGATTCTGATAATGCAACAAGATATATTTTATTGTCGTCGGAGTGGTTGCAGTGGAGAGGGGAGGGGAGCGGGGATGGTTTGTGACGGACAGGAACTAAACTCATGTGAACCGGCCAAGCGCAGTCATTCCGTACGAACGAGCCGACCCAGAAGGGTCAACGTGATACGAACTCGTTGAGCAAAGAAGAACCAAAAAGCAAGCCGCACCGGTGCCCTACGTGATTTTGACCAACCTTTTTTTTCTTTTCTTATTTCGTTCTACCTA